AACCTGAGGTGTTACCTGGATTGGTTTTGGCATGCAGGTGTATGTGTTAGTTTCAATGGGTGTTATCTGAGCTTCCTGGCCTATCCACTTCTCACTGCATTCTGAGCTGGGTCTCACTGCAGTGAGCAGGACTGGGCAGTCAGGAGGTCATGATGTACTGGCATATAAAAGGAACTCTGTCAGCTCAGCGCCAAGGGGCCTGCCAGTCTTTGGGAATTCAGGCAAACTGGGGATGCAGGACTTTGGAATGGAGTCAGCTGCCCACCTTAGGCAGGTCTGCTTAATCTTTTTATTGTTATTATTATTATTATTATTTTTTTTTTTACTGGCCAGCATCAGGAAGTTGTGTTCATTTCATTCCTTACTCTTTCCCTTTCTCTGAGTCTCTGCTTGGAAGGGAGAACTGTTAAAGCTTGTACATTCCCCTTCGTGAAAAGGAGCCACCGTGAGCAGCATCCGCGACAGGCAGCTATGGCTCTGCAGGTGAGCCACAGCCCCGCTTCCGCCTTCCAGAGGAGTGCCTTGCTTGGAAGGGATCTCCCTGGGGCCTTGGGTTTGCTCTTGCCTGCATTTCTCCCGAAATGCTGTGTCAGTAGAAATAAGCCCACGTGAGAGTTTGCCCTTTCAAGGCCTTAGCCACAAACGCCTTCCGACTAACCAGCTTGGTGCCGTAGCTCAGGCAGAGAACTCTAAAGCATCCGTTCAAGCATCTGAAACAAACGAATCAGCCAGTGAAATCTCATCTGTTAGTATCTGTTCTCCTCTTAGATTAGTAAAGGAAAACATGTTTAAAAAGCCCTTTTATGGCTTTAGGTAGAATCATGCTTCAATAAAAAAATCTCCCTACTTTTCAGACTGACTTGAGATAAAAGGAACCTCCACAGGCTAACTCTGGGAGAGGCCCATTTCTCTTTGTTGGTATGCATTGAGCCTTCCTGAGAAGGCCACCTCAAGGTATATTGGGACTAACAGTCATTGGCTACTGGTATTACCACCCATGTCTCCTTCTAACACCTGCATCCCCATCTGGTGGCTTTAAACTTATTCAACCTAAGAACCTAATTCTGTATAGCAAGAAATACTAGTTTCCTCCTTAAACCCACTTCCAAATAAGTTACAACAAAAAAAGTCTCCCTCTAGAGTTTTCCTATCATTCAGATGGAAGGAGGGGGGCTCCCATCTGGAATGCTGGTGGTGTGGGACAGAGTCTCCTCAGATCAGAATAAAGGAAATGCTTAAATGTTGAAAGAAAGAGAAATGAACAAAACTTTCCCTACTTTGGAATCTTCCTTTTCTACTTTGTAATCTTTCCTTCTTCTTCTCAGTGGGACACTGAATTCATCAGTGTCTGTAACTTGCACAGAAGCCCTCATCTAGAAGGTATGATGGGACATTCCATGTGCATTGCTATTTGCTGGGGGCCGGGGTGGGGGGGCGACTGAGAGTTTCCATGGTGCATGGCTGTGTTCCTTTATTTCTTTGCTCCTCGTGGAAACTTGCAGCTCACTCGATGTAGCAGCAATGGATGAAGAGCAAATGCTGAATCAAACTAAAGGGAATATGGCATGTAGGAGATGAGTGAGAGAAAAACAAAGGCTTGATGCAGCTTCTCTCTGGCTCCCTCCATACAAAGGGGTGGAGAGAAGGTTGGTTTTAAGTATGGAGATGGGTGGAAGGATGGATGGGTGGATGGATGGATGGATGGAAAATGCACACTCATTCAGACCATGGAGGCCAACTGAACTCTTCCCCATGTGGAACCGAGTGTCTGAAGTTACTCTCCTCTTCAGAGAAGTCAACACTGCAGTTGGTCTGAACACAGGGAGATCGAACCATAGCATGTCTATCTGCTCTTGAAAGCCCTGATGTGGAATGGGGGTGCACAGCATGGGGGCCAGTTCTGAAAGCAGTTCAGACAGACCTCACGCTCCACAGTATATCATGCATATGCCTGTGTCTTCACTTCTGCTCACACAGTGATGCCACACTCCATTTCCCACTAGCATCCAGTCTGCGAGTCATGGGAAGAAGCAAGTTGCACCCTTCTCAACAGACCATGCTCACTCTCATAGGTCCTCTCAAAGATATGTGTCCTTGTCCTAGTTGTGGTCAGCACAATCCTCCCACTGCAGACCCCACTTCCCTAACTGTGATATCGTCATATAATATTGCATCATGCAGAAAGGGAGGCCTCATGTGCTAATTAAATGTGGAGTAACGAATCACATTTAAAACAATTGCTATAGAAGAGGAAGCCAAAAATATAATTAGAATTATCCTTTAAGGAGACAAATGTTTCTATTTTTTAAAGCTTGCTTCACAATCAAATGCATTTTCAGAATTTATCTGTCAAGATTATGAACACAACTTAATTTTCTAGGCTGTGTACTCAACATAAATTACAGGCCTAGCCTCAACTCCCAATGGAACCATGTGAAAATGTGTTGGCATCAACCAACTAAAAATATTTGACTTCTACCAAGGAAATAAAACTCTTTCTATAAACAATAAAATGAAAAATGTTTAGTAGAAAAAATCCTCAACACTATTTTAACACAGGGTACTAGAATCTTTAACCTATGACTTACAGCGTACTGTTAGCACCATCTGAACTTTCAGCTTGAGACTCAGTAAGCCCCATACATGAAATGTGGCAATTACTTAGCCATGTGTTGTTCATGCATATTTTACAACACCAAACACCATAGCCAGCCACCAGAGAAAGCACTGAAAGCGATCTCATTGGGAAATGTTGGATGTTCAGAAAAGCTACAAATAACCCTGCACCCAAGTGCTCGCCATCCATGCCCTCCACAGAAAATGGGAAGGTTTCATAACACAAAGCTAAACTGATTAATGTGAATTATGGTATAAAGCTGTTAATGAAAGATATGTTTTCCCTCTAGAAAGTCAAGTTCTAACCCCACCAGTTAGACTCCTCAAACAGCAAGCAATTCCCTCTACACAGAGGGACTCACACACTGGACTCAGAAACATGGCTAGCCTCTTCTTTAGGGCATATGGGTACTTGAGGAAGAGCCTTCAGAAGAAATTAATCTTTCCCTCTGCCTGTGGTCAACTTGGCCACACTGCTCCCAAGAATATACGAGCCAGGGACCTGTTCAAATTGGCAAACACATCTTTTCAGATTGCTTCATCTAAGGCTAGTTGTGAGCTACAACCCAGGAGGAGGGCTGTCATTTTTGTAAACCAGATCAGCAGGAGGTTGAACAGCTTAAATCAAATCCTATGACCTGAGATAGCAAGGAGCCATCTAATGAGCCTATGACTCACTGAGCTATGAAAGGGTATGTGATCAGAGAAAGAAAGATCAGAGATCGTCCTGATAGGATTCAGTGTCCACCTGTCCCACAAACATGCTCTTCCCCCAGCCCCTGTGGCCATCTGGGCAGCACAGAGATTTCACCACAGATGAGCTGGTTGCTGTCATGCAAGGTCATCTACTAACCTGCCATATACACAGGCACCCCAGATTCTTCATTCACCATCACTCTTACTCACATCCGCTCTCATAGCCCTGCCACAGACAAGCCCTCACTTCAATGGTCACCATTACTTTGAACACAGAACAATGCTGGGCATTTGTCCCTGGAATAAAGTGAAGGATTGCTCCACATTAAACCTTATCAAGACTTACAAAGCCACACTTAAAACATGTGACAGCAGGGACGTACAAGTAATTTTGGTGTAAACTTAAAGAAATAAAAACAAAGGAAACATTTCTTTATCTTATTCATGATGAATAACAGTGTTGATAGGGCCTTTTTGTGTGTGTGGTGCTGGAGTTTGAACTCAGGGCCTTGTGCTTGCTAGGCAGGTGCTTCTTTTTGCTTCAGTTATTTCTTAGGTAAGGTACATACATTTCTGCCAGGGGCCAGCCTCAGACCTTGATCTTCCTATCTATGGCCTCCACATACCTGGGATCACAGATGTGTGCCGCCATACCTGCCTGTTTGTTGAAGTGGAGGTCTCACTAATTTTTTGCCCAGGATGGTCTTGAACCTCAATACCTTTGATTTCTGCCTCCTGAGTAGCAGGCATAAGCCATCACACCCAGCCATAGCCAGGGCTTTGTTTCTGACAGCCTGCTGATCTCTGTAGCTCCCATTTCCCTGCTCTGAGCATCTTTCTCCAGCCCTCTTTGTCCTGCTTTCTCCATTACCTGCCACAAACCACCATTCCTAGCCCCTCTTCCTGAAAATCTCCATGGCACCTCCTTTCCCCTCCATATACAGCTTTGGGATGACCTAGGATTCTACAGTCCTTGGATGCATGGACCCTGTTTGAACCAGGGGTTCCTATAAGCCACATCCACATTCTAGGGGCATGGTGGGGGCAAACAGGGGAGACATTCAGGGCTGGAGGAAGGGAAATGGGTCAGAGGCTGGCCTAGATGTGAGAAAGCAGCATTTTCACAGCAAGCCTCACAGTCATCGGGAGACAGCACACAAATAGACACGCAAACACATGTACACACACACACATGTCCACAGTACACACTAGGAAGTGATGGATGTTACTGAAATGAATTAAAAACCAACAAGCAGTGGGGTAAGAAACAAACAGAAACAAAACAAAGCACTTGCGTTCAGATGGAAAGCTGTTCACTGGGCATTGGACCCTGAGCCCAGGGCTGTGGGGAAGATGGGCCTACTTAGAGAACACTGCCTTTGGAGAAGATTGGGGGGGCCAAGATGTGAAAAGAGCACTCCCTCCTTTCCTGCCAAGGCCATCCTAGGGGTCCTGCACACAGGCCAGCTAGTGGCAGGTACAGGCACAATGGAGAAGGAAGGGAGAGAGGCAGCACTTACCTTGTGGCCCAGAAATGGCTAGTCCACATTTTGGGGAGTATGTAGTATCTCAGTTTAAACAAAATCCTTGCGGTACTGTTCAACCATGAATAGTCAGCTCTCTAGTATTTCAAATAAGCTTGTAACATTGTTAGTGAAAAGAGAAAACAAAACAAGAGGACAATTCACCTGTAGGGCAATTGTAGTGTTCTTCGCAGGGTACTTTCCCACCAATCCTTGTTCTTTCCGTTTCTTGAATTTCCTAAAGTAGTCCTGTATCAGGAAAGTGGCATAGAACTTCCCCACGGTTACCTCATCATCTAAACGGAGAGACCAGACACAGCTCTCCCGAATCAGCACATTTGGACCAAAAGCCTAAACACTCACTTCTGGTTGGGGCAGGGGTGGGGAAGAACAGTGCACAAGGCACCGACCTCTCACCCTACAACACAGGATGCTCAATCTAGCAAAAAGCAAGGCTTTGCAAAGCAGTTAAGGCTCAAAATTAGAGTCAGATGAACTGATGCTCAAAGTTGCAGAAAAGTAGTATGTCTAATCATGAGTTTAATAGAGTAGCATATTAGTAACAATATGAAATGCCATCTTGGTTATTCACTTAAAATAAAAATTACAAAACAAAAAGGCCTTGCTGGCCAGGTTTTCACTCCTTGTGCATAGAGATTTGCATGTGTAATTACAACAACAACAACAACAACAAAAACCAGCAAGTGCAATTAACCATCCAAATCCCTATGTCTCAAGATAGAGACCTAAAAAAGGTGACATATAAGCTCGGAAGGAGAGACAGGTTCAGAGAAGTAACTGCAGATCCAGATTTTCACACACTCCCCCATTCTTTGCCAATTAGCTCTGCAGATCATTTCTAGGTCTGTAATTCAGGATTGCTGGTTTTCTGTACTGCAGTGTCAGCTCCAACGAACCTCAAGGATGAGCACTGTTATCTCTGCTTTGTTCAGAAACGACCTCCACCACATATCACTGGGGATCAGAACTTTGCTGATGAATTTTAAGGTGATGCATGAGGCAGAATAGAGGCTCTGGCTATCCCATGATAAACCACCTTGGATGTGTAAATGTGCCCTCAGGTTTCCTAAGAGTGCTGCCACCAGATCTTCAGGGTGAGGAGGGCCATTGGGTGAAAGTTTAAGGCCACCTTGGCAACCTGGCTTGTGTGGGGCTACGGAACACTGTGCACAACTTGAAGAGGCTGACATGAGGAACAGCTGTAGGTCCTCAGGCTTTTGGCCAGGCTTCCCTTGCAAGACTGACCAGAGGAAAGGAGCTCAATTTATCTGAGTTGTGTTCTTATCTGTAAAATGAGGACAAGTCTCTTCAAGGAACTATGAGGATGGTGAGAGAGGAGGCTCGTAAATCACTCAGCCCCTGGCATGGGTCATCTTCAGGGTCAAGCACTGTGTGACTACAAACCATCAGAGTTACTATTATTTTATAACCTGCCAAGAGTGGCACCCACTGAAGTGGATCTTAAAGCATGGCAGGACAGGGCTCACTGGGACCCACAATATTCACCAATACATCTTGGGTGGGCTTTATTTAGTGTCCACATGAAAGGTGCCACTGACTTCTTAATTGTCCCCACTAGGCCACTTTGGGCAGCCTTTCCATCACTTCCTATCAGAAACATCTCAGTCTTATCTTGTGAGGAGGCTGTCTTGGGGGATGGTCTAGCCTTTAAGCAGTTCCTCCTATACCCAAGCCAGGAAAGTCATGGAATGGTACAGGGGTTACCAAAGAAAACCTAAGATTCTGTGTTACATGTGAAAATATGGCCCATAATCAGTTTTGGCTTGCCTAAACTGCCTAATGAATCACTGTCCTTAGGCAAAAGGCAAGCAGAGCCCACTCAGGTCTGGACAGCTCACCCTTGCTTACTCTTCAGCATTTGTCCAGGTGGCTCAAGTGTGTTTAGATTACCAGTTACGGCTAGCCTCTATAAGTGGGACTCTATGGGAGCCAGCTTCATTGTTAGAGAAGCTCCACATGAGAGATGAAGAGGGATTAAATGACTCACACAGGTCAGCTGGGCTGGGATCTGGACCAATGCAGTATGCTTTCCTGAGCCCAGGGGTCTTCTCCTCCTCCATAGCAACTCCCTACACATAGCCCAGCTCCAGTCACACTGGCCACCTGCTTCTTTGGAGTCGTCTCTTTCACAGTACAAGTCTAGCCCTTTTCTGGGCTGCTCATTGGAAATGGGATAGCAGCTGCCTGACTAGTGCATACAGGGAGCCTAAGGGGCTCTCTACCTGTCATGCTACCACTGTCGTCTGTACTCTAGGGTCTTGAGTCTTCTCTGTGGGCCCCAGAAAAAGTACCAGCTCTACCTGCAGCACACCCATCTCATTCTACGCCAGGATGCCTCTGGAAAATGTAGTTCTAACCCCAATCTCCCTTCAGTTACAGAGCAGAGGCAGGATAGACTCAAGGACCACTTGGGAGACTGAGCCCAGAAAAAGAAAAGCCAAATTTCTAACCAAAAAAGGACAGAAAAGGGAAGAAGAGAAAGAATGAATGTGGTGAGGCCATCAGAGCTCAAGACTAGAGAGATATGGGATCACCCAGGTGGCTCCTTCAGGGTCAAGGGCCCAAAGATCTAGCTCAAGAAATGAAGGCCCAAAAAGGTCCTTGGGGAAGAGAGGGAACTTCTAAAGAGAAAGGAGGGCCAGTCCCTAAAGTGGCAGTGGAGACTGAAGAGTGCAGGTGAGAACCTGGGCCAAGATTCTAAGCTAACACGGTTCAGATTGTAACACGGTTCAGATTGTCCTTATAGCCAGAGGCCACCCACAGTACATACTCCACAGTTCACTCCTGAGATCACCTTTTTATCGAGCTTATGATGAACCAGTGGTGTCTCTGTTCTGTCACTAGGCCTACAAGGGTCTCCCTGAGTACACTACACCTGCCAGCCCCAGGCATCTACGGGCAGAGAATGGCATGGCTCATTCTGCTGTTCTCTGACCAGGTTACAGTGTGGGGGACACTGACATCCTCAGTCTCTGGAGCCACTCATCTGTTTGCCCCAGGGGTAAATGTTGTTGGGGCAATAGCACTTAATGAGATTTAACCTGGACATGCATGAAATTTCTGGAGCATTCTGTTTCCTCCTAAGCCCCGCATTTCTTCTTCTCAGGTATCATGGTGACTCTAGTTGCCATTGTGGAAGTGATTAACACCTATCACCCTAAATCTCAATCCATATTATATGGAAATATAGGGAAAAGACCAGATCCAGCTATTGGATCAAGAAAGGGGGAGAATATTTAGCCTGTATGACAAGTTTAGTAGAGTCAAAAGTTGATCAGCTTAGATCATGAGCCAAATTCTTGACTTTGTTTTTCAGTAAGATGAAAAGAAAGGAAGGTTCATAAGAATGAGAATAAAACTCTCCAAGAGCATCTCATGAAGACTGGCATTCATGTGGGAGTTAGACTGGTCATGATGAAGGTGGTGTTTCAAAAGAGATGTGAGGTGGAGTAAGAGAGGTGCAGGGGTACTTGGGCTCATGAGGAAGGTTTACATAGACAGTCACAGTCTGCTATTCTGAAGCATGCATCTGTATTTTAAAAAACATTGTAGGGGAATTCAGTTGGCAAGAGATAACTCTGATTCCATGCCACCACCCTAAAACAGAATTGCTTCAGAATATTCTGAAAGACTGAGAGTTGAAAGGAATGGAGGCTGCAGAAAAAGCTTAAGCACATTGTTACAACAATTTAAAAAAGCAATTCATCTAAGCCATGCGAGCACTGATGTGCAGCTGAAAGGAAAAGAATGAAAACCAAAGAGTTTTAAATGTGCAGTATCACACACACATACTGCTGGCGTTCTCTAGGTAGGAGTTTTATTTTCTTTTATCGTTTGTTTCTGGGCCATTTTTTCCAACTTTGAACTGGTGGGAGATATATGGTAGCTCCCTTCAGTGACAAAAACTTATATTGCTTCTCACTTCATGCTGAGGAACAGAGTTGGCCAACATTCTACTCTCTTTGTCCCCCAAGAGTCACAGGCTGTTACTTTAAAGGGATAGGCCTTGGCCACCATCCTGGCCCAAGTTCTGAGTCAGCTCTCAGACCTGAGCCAGCCTAGCCTCAAAAGCTGCAGAGGCAGTGACATAAAAGCTTCACTGGTTACAAGACACTTATCATATGCCTAGGCCGGGGGTGGCTTAAATGCTGGTGGGATGGCACTGGGTGAAGAGATACTTGCACCTTTAAAACTCAAAAACAAAACAGTCCAAAACAATCATCTCAACTTCTAAGTCCATGTGTATTTAAACAAAAATGGAAAAACAGTATATATACACATATATATATGTATATATATATATATATAATACATAGATGTTATATATATAAGTTTTGAAAGTTTAGTCAGTTAATTTGTGACAAACAACAAAAGGAAATAAACATGCTTGTTAGTTCTGTCTCTAAATTCTCCTGAAAAGGACACTATTTGTAATTATGGTGGTAAATTCAGTTTTGATAAGAGTATTTAAAAAATACCATTTCATAACTACCTAATTTTTGTGAGAAGTTTTCAACAAAAATGTTGAAGGATAACTGGAAACTAGTTTTGAACAGTCTTTTTGGACAAAAGTATAGGTTTTTTTCATTTTTCAATAGCAATCATGTTCTTTAAAATTAATTTCTCTATCAACAAGCAAATCCCTGCTCCAATCACATGGGGCTTGGATTCCTCCCCACTGAAGCCTCTCTTTGGCATGAACATTCTTCATATTGTCCCAAATAATTATACCAAATGGCCAAAGAGCTCCTATATCTGTGAGCCTTATGCCCTAGATGATTTGTAAAGCATTCTACAAACACTCTCAGGATTTCTGAAATTGGTTTTTCACTAAAACCAACACCTTCGCCAAAAACTACTGAGGAAATAAATTACACTGACCACCAGCTGGAGGGACAACTTGGTCAAGTAGTTTCATGCTGGTTTTCTTCCAGATTTTCTTTATCACAGCTCGAAGTTCTTCATTAGCTTGTTCCAGGTTCCCTGAATCCGAAAAGCAAAAGGGAAAACAAGCCTTATTTCTGTTTCTCAATTCCACTTCCCTGTCCTCACCACACTGTCCTGTCCCAGCCTGGCCTGGATTAACACACTGCCCTCTTGTGGGGCTCCCCTCTAACTTGGCTCTCCCTAGGTAGGGCCAAACATTGTTTTATTCAGCAATGATCACGAAGTTTACCAATGGAAAAATCCCTTCACTGTGGGAACATCCATGTTTCACCCCAGAATTCAAAACCTATTGACTGTGATCCTGTTCTACCTTCCCATTGCCAGGACTTACTTCTTCCCACAGCTCTCATTCTAGAAGGTCTTCTCCTCTTCCACTGACTGTTCCAGGCCCATCTCTGCCCTTAAAGATTCTACCAAAACTTCACCTGAATAAGACTTTTCTCAGTTCCTACTAAATGTATTCATCCATACCACAGAACCTTGGCCTATTCCTATGCAGGCTGCTGCTGACTGTCTTCTTCACTAACACGTCTGCATGTATGATCAGCCTACCTTCTGGAACCCTTGAGAAGGCTTGGCCTAGGGCCAGGTACACATAAGCAAGCCAGAAGAGACACGTTAATCAGGCTGGAGTAGGCTGGCTTTGCTGTAGAGAGCTCCAAAGTTGTGAAAAACACCTGTCCACTGACTCAGTATATGTTTGTTGCTGCTTCCTCTCACCTCTCATCTGCCAAATGTTCCCCTCGAGGTTACCAGTTCCTCACCTCCCACTCACTCCTCAGTCTGCTGCAGTCTGCTTTCCATGCCACCTCTGATGTGACCACTGAGCCAAGACCCAGAGGCCAAAGTCCAGTGCCTATTTAGTCAGGTCTGAGCAGGGCTAAGCACGGAGTGGAGGGCCAGGCCCAGTGAGATGTGACTCTGAGTGCTTCCCAAGTGCTGCTTGTGCACTGTGTGCACTGTGTGCATGTGGGGCTTCTGTAAACATCACCCATGCCTCCTTTTACCCTTGTGTTTAGGTCCTTTTTATAGAGAAAGAAGCTACAATCCAAATGGGAACAAGGGGGGAGGTAGGTCTTCCTCCTCCTCCCTCTTCTACCACCTGTCCTGCTTCCAGGGAACACTCACCTTCAGTCTTGATCTTAAGAGCTGTTCGGACCAAAGCAAACAAGGTTGCATTGAACATGACTGTCCCATCACTATTGAGAGGCATGTTCATGGCAACTAATCTCTGTAAACAGAAAGAAAAATTCCTTAGGAGGATTTAAATGCTTGATGACAGCATATTCCCTTTTGGTGTGTATTCATGCCTTTTCTAGTCAACCTTCGATTCAACTCAACATCCATTTGGGAACATCTTCATAATGGTTAATTCTGTGTGTCAACTTAACTGGGCCATGAGATGCCTAGATATTTGGCTCAACATCATTTCCTTCTTTCTTTTTATGGTACTGGGGATTGAACTCAGGGCTTTGTGCTTGCTAGGCAGATGCTCTACTACTTGAGTCATACTCCCAGCCCTTTTTGCTTTGATTATTGAGATAGAGTCTTATGTTTCTGCCTGGGCTGGCCTGGACCACGATCTTCCTACTTATGCTTCCTGTACAGCTGGGATGACAGGTATGTACCAAAATGCCCAGCTTTTTTGTTGAGATAGGGTCATGCTAACTTTTTGCCCAGGCTGTCCTTGAACCATAATCCTCCAGATCTCTGCTTCCTAAGTAGCTGGGATTATAGGCAGGAGCTACACACCCTTCCTGGTAAAATATCATTTCTAGATATGTCTGCAAGTGTTCAGAAAGAGATTAGCATTTGGTGGACCAAGTAAAACAGACTGCCCACCAATATGGGTAGCCATATCCAACCCATCCAATCACATAGGGCTCAAGCAAAAAGGTGGAAGGAGACTGAATTCTCTCTTTGCCTGCCTGCATGAGCTGGGACATCACTCTAATCCTACGCTGGGACTGAGACCATCAGTACCCCTGGCTCTCAGCCTTTCAGACTCAGACTGAGCCACCAGACCTCCTGGGTCTCTGGCTTACAGATGACAGAATGTGAGAACTCTCAGCCTGCATACATGTGAGCCCTTACTCCTAAGTCTGTCCATACGTATATGTGCATGCGTGTGTCTATGCATATGTGTCCATTCATCAGAGAGACACACGTTGGACACCTATACAGTCACATACACACACACATGTCCATATTTATTCTATTGGCTCTGTTTCTCTGGAGAATTCTGACTAATACAACCTACCATCTGTAGGGATCCAGATGACAAACATCAAAGTTTTAATCATGAAATGGAGATGCTGACACTTGGATGCTGTTTTATTAAATAACCAAATCTCGTCAGTCAAGGATTCTTCTTCCTTTCAAATTACCAGCTCTCCATGTGTCTTGGGGTCAGGCTTCCACTCTAGATACATTCTCACAGTTTTTATGAGGGTTAAATGACGTGTCAGATATATAGCCCAGGCATAGGGCCTGGGAGTTAAGTTCTCAACCAAGAGAGGCCCCTACTAATTCCAACACAGGGAATATTCTTTAAGGAACCTGCCCTGGTGAGAGGATCATGTAGTATTTTGTACAATTCTCCATGGCTTCTCTGAAGGTTTGGTTTTTCAGAGCAGGATCCACACTTCCTACTCCTCATCTCTCTCCAGGTCCATCTGACATCACCATCAAGGAGAGTTAGAGGACTGAGGTGAAAAACACCCTCTTTGCTGCCCCAAGCACCTATTCTATAAAAATGCAAATGAAAGGCCCACACTGATGGAACTTGCAAGGATTAAAGGAGATCATGAACACAAAAATTTTGTGTTTGGTCCATGGTAAGAACTAAATAAATGATAATGCTGTTATTATTTTTAAATTTCTTATTTTTGGCTAACAATGTATTCCAAGAGGTTTTTTCTCCTCCCTATTGAAGGACTAGAATCTTGTGGTTGAATGGGTGATTCCCACCTGAATTCCTAGTCCTACTGTTAATCTTCCCTGTCTCTGAAACCAGCACAGGCAGCCCTGGACACTCACTCACTTTTCCTGGCAAGTTCTTGAGTCACCAAAATGAATGACTTTGCACTTTATGTAAAAGGGCCTGAAGTCTAAACACAAGCATTCTATCGATGAACTGGAATCCATGCTGCTTTGGAAAGCAGAAGAGAAGTCAGTACAGGGTGATACATCAGAAGAAAAAGTCAGTCACTTCTTGGCCTTTTGGCTAAGATCAAGTGTAAAAAGAAAAGGTCAACTTCTATGGCTTCTTCCCTGTACCTACATTCAGAGTCCAGTCTTCAGAGACACAGGACTTGCTAGTGGCCCTTTCTGAACTTTCAGGACAGAGAACATGAGTTTGGCTCAGGGATTTCTTTAAAAGTCTAAAAATACATTTTAGACTCTTTTGTTATCTCAGTGTTCATCTAGCTCTGGTCCAGCACCTGGGAATGACAAAAGCCCTGAGCCTAGGACCCCTTCAGATCCATGAGCTACATACAGGGACCAGCAGTTGTACATACTGGATGGGTTTCTATAAGGAAGAATTTCAATGGGCAAATCTTATATTTATCCTTTAAAAAAAAAAAGGAAATCTTTTCCTGTTTCTACAACAGACATAAAGTGGTTCTCCATGAGATCTTTAGAAGGAAGACAAATCTCAACTAGGTTTCCAGAGAGCATGGTCCAGTATAGAAATGACAGAAGCAGAGTGGGAGATCTGGTTCCATCCTAGATTAAGCTCCAGCCTGATGCCCCAGGAAAGGGGCCCCAGCGGTAAGCACAAAGTTCCTCAGCAGAGGGTCCATGTCACCATGTCCCTCACCGCCCAAACTAGGAAATGGGTTTGCCTCTCAATTCTGTCCTCTCCTCACCCGGCTGCAGGTTCTTCCTGTTCTACTTCTTCAGCAGATATTCAAGCCACCTGCTTTTCTCTCTTTCCATTCCTCACCTGGCTCTCCTGGTTGGTTCCTTCCTTTAGTCTCCTTCTCCACACCAACAGAGTCAACTCTCTAAGATGGAAACCTGAAATTCACATTTCTTCCCCAGTCTCCCTATTTTCCACAGGAGTCAGTATGGCATGGAATGTTCCACACAACTCGGCTCAGCTTGTGCTCAGGGTCTGTGCTACTTCCTCTTCTTCCAGCCAAATGCTGGCCCAATGATTCACCACTGGCCACTATGAGGTGCATCCTCCTGCCTCTGTCTGGGTTCCATGCTCTCCTTCTTGTGAAGCCCTTCATGCTCTGATAACTCCTACATCTCCTGTCCCCCTCCCCTCAGTGCTGAGGATTGAGTTCAGGGCCTTATGCATGCTTGGTAAGTACTCCATCATTGAGCTGCATCCCCAGTCCCCTATATCACCTCTGGGCTTGACTCAAATATCACCTTCCCCTCCATCCATCCAATGACAAATTACTGAATTTCCTTCCTCTTGTTACTGTTCCTAAGAGTTACAAATCTTATTTGCATCTCTGCATCCTCAACACCTCACAGAAAGCCTGGCCAAGTATTACTTAGTATTTGTTGAGCAAAGCAGCAAGCCCCCACAAGAGAGACATCAGACACACAAATAGACACACAAACCTTGCACGCTACTCTGTGTGGGCATAATTTCCCAAATCCCAGAGGAGGCTGGATGCGTCGGAGCAGAGTGACCACATCGAGGTGTTTTATCCTTCCCCTACAAGCAAAGCACGACATGAGGTCAAGGGGAACGTTCAGTGCACCACATCTTCCACAAGAGTCACAGCTGACATTCCAAAATAGCCCACACAAGCCAGATGGACTCTTTTCCAACCTACTTTGCCTCAGGGTCATATTCTGACCATATTCTTTTGAATTCATCTAAATGGTGAGGCCCCAGAATAGACCAGTCCCGGGTCAGATAGTCAAAATTATCCATGATGACAGCCACAAACAGATTGATGATCTGAAAAAGCAAATCAGAAGAAGGGAGTTTCAGCTGTAGTGGGATGTATTGGTTAAACTTTATCATCTGCCTCCTAATTACATGGACTTTAAGATATTTGACCCAACATCTCCAGGTCCCCAAGAATGGTCATAAAAACTCTCCTTTTGGAGAACATTTAAAAAAGGGTAGGCTTCTAGCTTTCTGGGATGGCTTGGTATACTCCTAGGAGGGGGCGACTGGTGTGTTAGCTGGCACTCTACAGTATACTGCAATCTTATAATTTCATTGCCACCATATAATTCTCAAGTCACTCTTTAAGTGACTCTCAAGTCACTTAAAGCCATATGCTGTGGCTTTGACATTTTAGAAAGGAACCAGCAGCCCTAAGCAGCTGTGGTGCTTGGCAATTACCTCCAGCCTATCACTGAGCACTCAATCCCTGCTCACAACCAAGGTGGTGGTTACACATGTCTCATTAAACAATATCACCCACTGCTCCACAGTGCCCAGGGTGTATCAACCTGACATTAACAGGTCAATGTCATTGCCCCAGAGAAGCTCTGTAAAGAGAAGGGGAGTTATTTTGACAGCTTACCAGAAATGCACAGAGCATGTAAAAGCTGATGAAATAGACAATGGCAAAGTTGCTCCCACATGTGTACTCTTCTCCAGGGTTGTAATCCGACTCAGGGTCACACAGCTTCCCTGGGAGGCAGGCCAGCATGATCTCCTGCCAGGCCTCGCCTGTCGCACACCTTTTTAGATCACAAAAAGAGTTTTAGTGGGGGAAAGGGAGGGGGAAGGTAGGGGTTGGGGGTGGGAGAAGAGATTTAAGACTTAGACTTTGGGGAGGGAATTTTTTTTTTGGTGGTTCGGGGGTTTGAATTTGCTAGGCAAGTGCTGTACTGTTTGAGCCACTCCCCGAGTCCTTTTTGATTTAGTTATTCCTCAGACAGAGTCTCTGGTTTTTGCCAGGGCTAGCCTTAAACTGTGATCCGCCTACCTATGGCCTCCCATAGGTAGCTGGACTTTTTTGCCTGGGGTAGCCTTAAATCTCAATCCTCCCGATCTCTGTCTCTTGAGTAGCTGAGATTATAGAGGTAAGCCATCATGCCCGGTCAGGAAATTTTTAATTAGAGCAAAACCTAAGTAATTTGGGGAGAAGCTGGTGAGTTACTGAAAATCTGAAATTCTGACTTATTTTCAAATGCAACTTACCTCAGTAACTGGAGGTCCTGACACAACACTCCCTGATTTATAGGATTTATTTGATGCAAATACACCAATCCATTTATATAAATGGACGTTTGTTTTTCTATCTTCTCTACTTCAAAAATTGATATTACAGTTGTTTAATAATTGTTCCTGATAAATTTTGTTGAAATCAAAGAGTTCTTGGAAACTACCTAACTTGCGGAATTTACTTGCTATGCAGTCACTGGAGTCATTAGAAACTACTTTTATAGATGCTGGGGGCATGGCTGAAGTGATAGAGCACCTGCCTAGCAAGTACAAGGCCTGAGTTCAAACTCCAGAACCTCCAAAAAAAGAAATTACTTCTGTAGTTTCTGGAAAGTTCTTTTATCATGAGGCAGATTGTTTACAAAGTTAATTAATCGGGGTTAAAAACAGTCCCATAAACTTTGAAGTGGTTCATCTTAGGATGTTCTCTATTGGTTGTACAAAAGACTCCCTTGTTTTTGCTAAATTTCTGTTCTCCTGGTTGGCTTTTAGTACACTATTCCATGCACAAATGTTTATTCTACTATTTTCTTGGTGGTCTAAGCAGCCTTACTAACTACCAAATGGATAAACCTTAGCTGAGCCACAATTTGAATGAATCCAGCAGTCTTAATAATCCAGCAAAATTTCTCTATGACTAAAATGCCAGGTCTCTGTTTAAGAATACAAAGCGAACAAAAGCAACAAGCTATCATGATAACTGGGCAAGGCAGTAACACATGCCCTCTGTCACTCTGAGCCCAGGGCTCGAGAGAGACTGGCACCACCTGTCCAGGGGCACTGCCTGTGTGGACTCAGTCACCTGAAGAGCAGCAGCACTGCTTGGGGAAACGTCTGGAAGTTGTTGTTCCTATTGATCTGGTTGTTATCTCTCATGGCGACTTTCCCAAACATCTAGGTAGAGACGTTATTAGGGAAAAAAAAAAAAAGAGATTTTCGTCATTTTTATAGTTTGCATCTCAAATATCCCCCAAAGGCCCATGTGCTAAAGGCTTGGTCCTCAGGGTGGCATTGTTACGAGGTGGTGGAAACTTTAAGAGGTGAGGTCCAGTAGGTTTCCTTGTGTCACTGGGGGTGTGCCTTCAAAGGGACTATGGAACTCTGGTCCCTTATTCTTTCTCTTTTGGTCATGAGGTAAGCAGTTTTGCTCCACCATGTGCTTCTGCTATGAGGTGTGCCAAGCTATAGGCCCACAACAAAGGGGCCAATCAACCATGGACTAGAACCTCCAAAACTGTGAGCCAAAGTAAACCTCTTTTCTTTACAATTAAGTATCTCTAGCATTTCACTACAGCGATGGAAAGCTGACTACCAAAAACTTCCAATGTGAATTTAGAACTAACTCAGTTTTGATCAACACCAGCTAGGGCTTTGTCAGGATACCTGGCACCCCATTCATTCAACAAAGACCTATTGGGCACAGCCATATGCCAGGAACTAGGTTAAACACTGGGAACACAGTGCTCCAAACAGGCACATGTCACCTTTGGTGAGTCCCTGCCCAGGGACAACAAAGGTAGTCAGCCAGGCAATGACAACCTTGCACACCGAATGGTGTGATGGTTTAGACCCACAGGGAAGCAAGGAACAGGCTCATCTACCCAAATCTAGGCATCTGGGGTTAGGAAAGATCTCCAGGGAGAATGGCATTTAAGCCTAGAAGTGAAGGATAAGAAGTTAGTCAGGGGACAAGGTGACTAGTGCTTCAGGCAGAGGGAACACCGCCTGCAAAGGAGCAGAGATACCACAGCAGGGATGTCCTGGTGAGAGGATGGATTAAAAGTCAGGCTGGGACTGACGGGTAGGAGTTTGTAAACTTCTCAAAGGGGTGTAGGCTTTACCTCCAAGGCAACAGAAGTGAGTAAATGGCTTCCCTCATGGGGCTTAGAAGGCAGAATGCTATTATAGAAGAGCTTGCTGCCGGGCAAGAGCCTGCCGGGAGAATCTGGGATGGGGTGGCCAATGTAGTTTGCTGTGCCCTGAGATACCTCTTTTTAATGTGAGAGCATGTGTCATGCAAGGCCCTCTGGGCACACAGAACCACATCCTTCTCAATTAGAAGAGCTTGAGGATGATGACCCTTGTTTCATAACTCTGGGTAAGATTGCTAGAGTCTGCAAGTACTTCTGTGCCTCCAGGATAAAAACAATGTACACAACCATCTCTCTACCCTAGATATACTTTACCTTTTTTGTTCCCATCCCTCCCTAATCAGAAAGACATCATCTGAGGGCTGGAGGGATGACTCAAGTGGTAGGGCACCTGTCTAGCAAGCACCAAAGCACCAAGCCCTGAGTACAAAAAAAAAAAACAAAACAAAAAAAAAACAGCACTTGTACAAGGGAACAACCTGCAAAGATCCCACGCTGGGGTCTAGACCCACAAGCTACTCTCCAGCTCCCTCTACCCATAGAGATTCACTGCCCACATGGCATTAAGACTCAGCTGTTAATGAGGCCCAATTCCTCAGGAGGACTGCAGAGCATATTGCAGGTTCTCAGCCTGTGGATCAGGGTCACAGAAGAGTCAGGTTCCATGCCTCTCCGGGAATGTGAGTTGCTGTGGTACCACAATGGGCCTACTTCAGTCCTAACCACAGCAACTAGAAATGTTGTTTCAAGTGAGAATCCCACTTGTGACAAGGTGTAATTCTTCAAAAAACAACACACTTTTTTGCATTACTAAGTACTTCTGAGTAACATCAGTGCAGAAAGTACACCACTCACACTGATGAACATGGCTTCCTTAAGTGTGGCATTTCCTTTTCTGTTGGATCTCCTATGGCATACCGCTGCTAAAAATCAACCTTGGGTCTTCTTACCCAGTTATCCCAAGACACAAGTGGGGAACAGGAGGTGCTATGACAGTGGTTTTAATGCTGTATCTTCTGCATTCTTCTGGGTGTGATCTCTTCTCTCATAGGCTCTGTTCTCAGGAGCTCTAACCTGCCTAAAGGGCCACATCTTTCTCATCTCTCTATCTTTTCAGCAGCTAAGGTCTTTGGCTGAAAAACCATTACCTCATCTTTCTACTTTATCTGACCACAGTAGCTTTTGCTGTAGATTTGCAGGCCTGGCCTGCAAAGGTTCCCCGAGAGGAAGGCAGCTGGCACTCACCTGCATGCCAATGACCGCGTAGATGAAGAAGAGCATGGCAATGAGGAGGGCAACATACGGGAGGGCCTGCAAGAGAAGCAGCACGTGGGTTGGCGTGGACGCCTGCTCCTGACTTACTTAGCATAGAGAAAGAAGACCTAGGCCAGGCCACACACTTTTCCCTTCCAGATGTTATTGTGAAGGTATATATAAGGTGAGAAAAATCTTTTTAATCTCAGTCCAGAACAACTGCTTTGGTCTTGAGTATCCATCCACTTGCACACCTAGTGTTACTGTGTTGCAAGCAGGATGTGCTTTTCTACAGGCATGTTTAGGTGTGCTAACCCTAAACATTTTCCAGACACACTAGTCTCATAGTGAGTTTGAAATCCATTATTGGAATTCTTTATGAATTTTTTTTTACTTTATTATAACATTTTAATTGCAGAATTCCAGTCTAAATATCAGAAACACACAATTACTGATTCTGGTGCTGTCTTCCACACCCTTTCAAAATTTGACCAATGATTTATGTATGCCTCAGAGAATTTTCTAGTTCAACCCCACACACCAATGTGAAATAGAAGGAAATGCTAGTCTTCTAGCTTTACCCAAACTTCCAAAGTGCTACAATAGCTAGAACATTCACTGTAGAAGGTCGTTTATTGCTGAGTTAGAACAATAACACTGTAGGCAGAGTTCTGGGTGTGTTAAAATGTGAATCGGTGTCCTGCAGGCTTTGTTCTCTTTCTTTTTCTTCCTACAAGGGACGTATTATATGTAATAAAAATATATCTTCAGATGAAACCACATTTAATGCAGATGAGCAATGATAAATCCCTATTGTTACTGAGTTTACAATGGAGAAATCTCAGCTCTGGGTTACAACTCAAAATCATTATTATTTCAAGGTTAAGGAAACAAATTAGTTGGCTGGCTAGGAAATGCTTGATTCTTTCTAAAACCATAATTCAATGTGGACCTTTTCTTCTTGCCGTATCCCAAGACAAAAATCAGGTAACCTGTATTTCCCACACAACGCTCAGAACATGCCTTCCTCTATCTCCCTCTGTGCTGAGAAATGACTCTAGAATCTGGACATTTTACATTCATGGCTTGGGTTACTTGGTGCTCTAGTAACAACTGCCCCAACACCCAAAGTTGATCCACTATTTCTTTTTCTTTTTTTGGTAGGACTGGGGTTTGAACTGGGGTTTGCACTTACAAAGCAGGTACTCTATTGTTGAGCCACACATCCAGTCCATTTTGATCTGGTTATTTTGGAGATGGGGTCCTGTAAACTGTTTGCCTGGGCTGGCCTTGAACCTCCATCCTCCTGATCTCAGCCTCCCAGGTAGCTAGGATCACAGGCGTGAGCTGGGACACTCTGATAGTGAGGATCACAACACTAACGCACTCAGACAAGAGGGACATGATAGTAAAGCCAACAGTCTTTTCAAATATCACTATCATCTTTAAAACCCATATGCCTTTTTTTTCTCTAATTAGAAAATCAGGAATGGCCTGTATTGCCCACCAACACATTCTTCATTAACAGATGCGAAGATATTTTAGGACTATGAAAAGCATTTCAAGGTATCTGTTTTCAGGGATAGACCACAGTCACAGAAATACTTTTCGGAGTTGGTTCATTCTAAAGTCTATCTCACAAAGGCATCAGCTTTCATGAGGTACCAAGATGTGTTCTGCCAAAAATATTTTTGCTTTCATAAAGCTATATGTCTTCAAGTTCAACTATATTATATATATTATCTGTTCCTTTTCTTCAGCAAAAACAAGAACATTCTGTTTAAACTCCAAAATGAGTAATAGTGATGTAGAATGAAGGTAGAATTGAGGTTGGTTGTTTTTATAGTTCACAACACGGATGAAATGAAAAGGTCTGCAACTGTCCTACATCACATCTTTCAAAAGTCCTTCTCTCCTTTCACATGAATTCATCCGAATCATTGCCATCCTGATTTGAAGACATATTTTCAACTTTCATTAGTGATGAAATAGCTCCTAAGTTCATCCATTTCCTTTTTCTTCTTTTTCTCTCCTTTTCATTTCCTGATCTTGGGCTTTTTTTCTCATTCCTCTCTTCACGGTCCCTGCTTTCTTTCTCTGCTGCTAGGTCTGGGAACCGCTCTGATTTGGTCTTCTGTAATCGGTTCAGGATCTCATTCACGTTCTTCTCCACTGTCACAATTTTTACATCCTTCTGCCTGTGAAAGCCTATCTGCCCCACATCCATGTCAGCTGTTTTCTTCAGGTTAGACCACAGCGTATATACCACATTAACGTTGTTCATCTTACAGCCTTGAATGCTATTGGCCTTCACAAGGTGGGCGCAGTCCATCAGCACCTCCTTTGGAATGTCTTCTATGTTTTCTCCCTTATGTAATCGAAGGTATACATGAGCTGAAGAGAGTTTGTCCACATGAAACCAAATATCTTCAGGCCAACCATACTTAATCAGATCTTCATTTTTGTATTTATCCTTTCCCATGTAAATAGTGTAAGCAGATGAATTATCGCTGTGGCTAGTGAAGTAGAACACCATGATCCCTGCAGCAGTGCGGGACTCGCGCGCCTACAGCAGTAGTACTCTCTTTATGAAATTTTAATTGGTAAAATCATCCCCAAACACTGGACATTTAGGTTGCCTTCACTGTCACTTGTGGGCATGTCTGTGGTGGGGGCAAGCAAGTGGTTGTAGATCATGTTGCAAAGAAACATCATTATGCAAAAATCACCTTGCCTCTCCTGAAGTGTTTGTTTCCTTAAGGTGAAGGCTTAGCAGTGGAATTACTGAGTCAGAGGAGAAGGAGAAGAATCACTTTCTGGCTGTTGCTGCAGAATGCAAAGCACCTGTCTTAAAATGTACATCTTCTGAAAGGGCTACAAAGTTGCAGGGGGCTGGGCCAGAGAAGAAAAAGAGCTAGCTGGATGGTCACCACACCTGGGCTCTCTTTAGGAACACCCAATGTAAATGTCTAACCAGATCCCCATCCTTCATACAATATTCTTGATTGCTTTTCTCCCTTACCACCTGTGACAAATGTGTCCAGGGATTTGAGGGTGAGTTCCAAGTATGCACTCCTAAAACATCCCCTTTCCCTTTCTGAGAAAGATCATCAGAAAATCAGTGGCTGACAGGCTGATAGGCCATCTTCAGACTTGTACCAGCTGTGGATCTGTGACTGCCAGCCTGGCCTGGTGTCACAGCACCATCCTGACAGCTAGATTGCTTAACAGAGTCCCACATGGTTAAGTTAGGTAAGACTACACCTCTCTGCATTTTCTTCCTAGATTATCAAATGTTTAAGAAACTGTTGGTACAAGTATACAGTGTACTTCAATCATTATGTGCATACCTGAAAATAGGATAGTGAGACCCATTAAAAACTGTGAAAAAAGGGAGCGGGGATAATAAATAGTAATAAGGAGAGTGAATATAATCAAAACACTTTATATGTATGTGTGGAAATAGCCCTTTGTACAATTAAAATACACTAATAAAAAATCCTAAAAAAACCAGAATTTTGTTGGTACAGTTTCTCAGTGTGAACCACTACCCTGTTACATGACGTCCTTGTCTACCAAAGCTTTAAAAAAAGTTCATTTGGGGGTTGCAGCTTGTGCAAGTAATCCCAACTACTTGGGAGGTAAAGAGCAGATTTGAGGCTAGCAGGGGCAAAAAGTTAGCAGGAGCCCATATCAACCTAGTTGCACCTGTGATCCCAGCCATATAGGAAGTATATGTAGGAGAACTGGGGTCCAAGGCTGGCCCCGGGGAGGGTGGTGGGGAGACACAAGGCCCAATCTGAAAAAATAACCTAAAGCAAAAAGAGCTGGAGGTGTGGCTCAAGTTTAATAATTCCTTTAAAAAGTAAGAGTGACAAGGTTGCATGAACTTGTTCTATTCTTTTAGCAGTTCATCACAAGTTTTAGTACTTCACATGAGTAATTATAGCAGTGGAGGATTTCATGGGTCACCTAGACTGAGGCTTGCCTGCCTGGGCCCACTCTATCTTCCCTCTCTCCCCAGGCCTTCACCATCCTCAGAAGGACTGTGAACTTTGCCCTTTTCCTCTTCCCAGATGCCACCTCGTTCCCTTTACCTGTTAAAATTCTACTCACTATGGAAAATGCTTACTGGGATGTTGACACTGGCAACCCCAGAGGCAGTGAGAGGCAAGCCTGGACTTTCTCATATGTCTTTGGATAACTTCATTTGTTCACACCAACATTTATGACTTTTGAGTGAAACATAATCAAATAATAAAAAAAAAGAACATGAATGGCTCGCTTTCTCATGTTTGTGCCCATTCACAAACTCCACATATAGGTGCACCTTTTAACAAGAATCCCATATTTATTCTTTACCCTCAAGTGATTCAGTCAGAAATGGCTAGAATTTCTGAGGTAGGGCACTGGAAGGTGCAGAAGAATAGACTAGAACTGGGCTGCACCAGCCTGGAGAGTTACAGGTGATGAATGAAGCCTGGCTTACAGCTAAATGCCTGAACCCAGAGACTGGGGATAGCACGCTGGGCCAGACTGGCTGACAGACAGGACTGTCGTAGCCATAGGAAGAGAAGCTGCTCTCGAAAGAGGTTACTGGCCTCCAGGGTGTCTGTGGGGATCCTCCCTCACATACCACCATCACTGCCAGCCATCCTGGGGTGGGCAGAGTATGGGGCTCACAGACTCACATCTCTTTCTGCCAGGGGAGTGTTGCAGATCTCTGAGCTATAGAGCCTCAGTGCTGTCTGTTCAGTTTCCTTTAACAAGAAATCCTATTTGATTTACCCAAGTTGTGCTGGGTTAGCTCTCTCCAGCATTCCATATTCTCTACCTGCGTAGGTCATATAGAGGTAATCTGGGTTCTTCAGCATAGAGGCAATCACTGACTTACACATGGTCTTCAAAGACAGACAGACAAGCCCTGGGCCTGGCTCTTACCTGAAAGGACTTAATAAAAGTCCACAGCAATGTCCGGATGCCTTCCCCCCTGCTGAGAAGCTTCACCAATCGCATCACTCGGAAAAGACGAAAAAAGGTGATGGAGATTCTATTGCTCTCTTCAGAGTTCTGAAGGGTTATCATGGAGAAGTCAAACCCAATGGAAAGCAGAACATGCAACACTTTCAGAAAAACAGCAACAGATGCAAAGGTGACAGAGGTAAGAACTGAAGATGTGTTTCTAGGGCCTTTTCAACCTTAAAAAGCATGATATGAAAGGAAAAGTTACATGCTAACAACACAGGACTTTGGAAAACTGCGTCCACACACACATGCATGTCCACGTGTTCTACTGTGTTAGAGGAGAACGCTGGCTGGCCAAGAGTACTGGACACTGATGATGAATGCAAACCACTGCAGACACTGTTCTGGAAGGACAATCATGGAGAATACAGAAAACCAGTGGAAAACTTGACATGGTCAAATAAACTCAAGGAAAAGGCCCAGCCTCTGGGGACTAGTCACTGATCTTACCCCGGGTGTAGCAGTTGGGACAGGGACATTTTCACTTTCAGTTGGCTTTAAGAAATCAAAGATTGAAAATGTATTAATGAAGTGGGAAGGAAGCAGTGGCTCAGGAGAACAATCCCCCTTTTAAAAAGTGTGTGATTAATGTCTTTGGAGAATACACCTGCTCCCTCCCTGAGACATGCCAGTGGCTCTAACTAGAACTGGATTCATGGATGGGCAGCCACTGACATGGCAAAGACACACTACTTCTTTCTAGTTAACATCCAAGGAGGTGATGTCCCAGTTGACAAACATCCAGTGAGACATGATGTTGCAGACCTCAGAAGTACAGAGTGTGCCTCTGCTTCTTCTCCTAACCCCAAGCAAACAGAATGACTCCAGACACTGGGTAAACAGACATTGGGTCTTGGTTCCACATCTTGGTGGATTATATATGGACCCATGGGATCAAATGCCTTAGCTCATGACCTCTCTGATGTGTTGCTGAGGAGATGGGAGAGCTGGTAAGTATAAGGAAGACAGGTGAGTTTCTCTCTTGTAGCCTGCACTGTCTGCCCTGTAGTTCAGACTGCTTCCAGACAAGAGAAAGCTCAGGTCTGCTGGACTCTGGAAGAACTAGAACAGGACTGACCAGCTTTCCCTGAAACTCAACAGCTCCACCTCAACCAGGTCTTGCTGGGCTCCTGTTGCCTAGGCCTCAGATACAGACTGATGACTGGTGCTCACCTGTCCTCCTTACTCCATCCTGGGATCCCACCCAGAGAGGAAAGGGACCTTGCCTTACACCACTCAGTGCCCAGCTTGGCATCTACTGGGTATTAAGTCCTTTGAAAAATGCAGACACTGGAGGCAAACTGTCACAAATAACTCAAAGCATTTTTAAATTAAACAGTAATAGTAAACTGAACTAGAATTGGGACAGGAAGGCCTCTCAGTGGTGGTGTCACCTCCACTGCAGCAGCAGGTCTACCTGGGCACTGACAGAGAGGAAAGAGGCTCATCTGGTTGGGAGCTTCCAAAAAAGCTTTAGGCACAGCATGACTGTAAAACTAAGGGGCAAATGTGCATATTGCTTAGATGGTCTCATCCTCTGGGGACACAGGAAAGGAGAGGCTCGAGTCTGAAGCTGCCTGCTGAGTTCAAATGGAAAATTCTACAAAACTCATAGAAAATAAGGGGTTTGAGTACATCAGAGAACAAGTGCAATTCAGCAATGTGACTCTGAACCCAAGGAGAGCAGGTCTTGATAGTTAGAATGGGGTCCCTGCTCCACCAGGGATGCTCAGAACGGATACTCTATGATGAGCTTCAGGGTCACTATTTTTATTTACCCCTTTTATGATCTCACCTTAAAAGGAACAACATAGCCTTAAAGGGACAGATCATGTTAACTGAAGGTTTTAACAAACAAAGGAGTTAGTTTTCCAAAGTTCTCATTTTCTCCCACACATTCTTGCTAAAAGCTGTGCACAGGCAGGTTTTACTCTTGCCTCATGTGTGTGTGTGTGTGTGTGTGTGTGAGAGAGAGAGAGAGAGAGAGAGAGAGAGAGAGAGAGAGAGAGAGAGAGAGAGAGAGAGAATATGTGCATACTTGCACACCTCTGCTCAGGAACCGGAGTGTGCAAAAGGCAGAGCCCTCTACAGCTACATTACTGAAACACCCATAATGTGTGTGCGACCTGTGAGAGCACAGGAGACACTCTTTCTGTCTAGTCTTCTGCTTGTCTCTCTCTGTGCTGTCCCATGACACACCACTTCTGACCCACTTCCTTTGGGTAAGTGAAAGGTAGCAGTCAAACTGAGTTTTGAAATGTACATCTTTTTAACTGGTGTCTAAGAAGTATGACAAATTATATGCTAATGAAATTCAGACTCTTGTTTAAAAAACAAAAAAGAGGAGACAGCATTTGTCGAGGGACAAGGCAGCACAACATGCAAAAAAGGAAGGATAGAACAAACAACAAACCAGGCTGTGTGCACCCCCAATGTGGCCTGCAACACCAGCCCCTGACCACTACATGCTAGTGGGCAAAGAAGACTGCTTCAAGAGAGGATGTGGCTGGCAGCACTGGGGGACCATACAAGCTGCCAAAATATCTTCCAAACTGGAAGGACCCTGAGGATGGCTTTGCCCAAACTACAAATGTCAGCCAGATGAAAATGGCAGCCAGCTGTCATTCTGGGCCACACAATGAAGCTCCCTGGGATCTTAACAAGAATTTGATGGGTATGTTCCACCCCAAAGATTCTTTGTTAATTGATCTGCATTGGGGAATTTTAAAAGCTCCCGGGTGATTTTCATGTGCTCCAGAGTCAAGAATTTCAGTCTTAGCTCACAGTAAAGATGGGCAAAGTATTCAGCAGACTGCTCACATTAGCAGAGTAGACACATAGAATGAGTGGGGCCACTAGAAAAGCAGCTTCTTTTGGAGGTGATGATGGTTTAGTACTTGAGTGCAAAGACACTGGATTCCAGCCCAATTATCCTTATGAGGAATGGAGGGTGGAGATGGAACACAGTGAGCTGGTACTATGCTTGACTCCTGGGATCACCCACAGGTTACCCTAGAGGATATGAGATAAGGGAAGGGCTTGCTCCCTAGGTAGCTTTCCAAGAATGCCTGGACTGGGTAATCAGTTTTCAATAGAGGGGAAATTCCACTGTCATCTCAGGGCTTGAACAGACACCTCAGTAGTTTCTTCCAACACTGAAAGGTTATGTTCCTCAGTCTGTTTCTGGGAAAGGACCAGCAGACAGAGTTGGGGTTGGACTGTGGCCATGCATTCAGACAAGAAGCTGAGTAAAGCTGTGGTGATTTGGTCTAAACTGGGTGCCTGACCAGGCAGGGACAATTCTTGAGTCCTGGGGGTGAGCTCCTAGTTATTATAATAGCAAGGCAGCCATGGTTTCCAAACAAGTATGGTGCCTCCCAGGCAAAAATGATAAAGGAAAAACACCAAATGTCAGCAACAACCACTTGTGGGTCTGAAAAATATGTTGCTGGGCCATTTGACTGCCCAAGGAACAAACAGGCATTCAAGAAGGAGCAAAAGTGAGTTGACCAGTTGTCATCCAATATTTTAGCAGCTTGGTGATGACCAAATGTGAAGGAGACAAATTCACAAGAACCATTAAACCTGGAACAAGTGAAGTGGGGGATGTGTAAAGCAGGATGGAGAGACTTAGGTAAGCATGCAAGCAGGACAATGCAAAGGGTCATCTAAAATGTTTTTGCAAAGAATACAAATGCAAGCTTGATTTCTCATTTCCAGGTCACATAATTCATTCTTGAAGGCTGTGTTGGCAAGTCACAGAGCCAATGTGACTGACCAAGAAGGCCTGAGCTCAGGCCCTGGTCAGAGACAACAATGGATGGGAGGGGAAACAATTTAGATGACCGTGATTAATCCTTAGCAAGTCCTGTGAAACACAATGAAAATCAAAGGTGGGAAAGCAAAAAACAAGTATACAGTCTCTAGAAGCGCTTTTGCTTTAACGACTTCACCGTATATATGTTTATATATACTTGCCGCTACAATTTTCTAAAAATAAAACCAACATGAAAATCAATTAGGCAACAGAAAAGAAAGATCAACAGAGTTTGGGAGAGAGAGCATAGCAGGTTAAACATTGCAAAAAAAATAATGATGTATGCAACTAACACAAGCCACAAATGAATCAAGGGTATTCATGCTCTGCAGACCCAGGAGCTCAGGGGACAAGGCCACCGAGGATGTGTCATGCCTGGGGAGCTACACCTGGGGGTAAGGAACTAGTGTCCCCATTCTTACACATTTATACCGTAAGAGGTTAAGAATATCCAGTCTTTTTGATCTGTATGTCTCCCCAGACCCTAGGCTAGGGCTAAGTGTCCATCACGCATGTTGAAAGACAGAATAAATGAGAAGGAACCTTGAGCATTCCCTTTGGGTCAAGGCCTAGTGGAAAAACACTGAGATCTCCTCAGGTGGCCCAGGGCAGGGAACTCCATGGCCATGGCTGAGAAGCTACAGCTCAGTAGGCAAAAGGTAATTGACTGAAAGTAGAGCATGTGAAAGTTCACCAGTGGGATTTTGAAAGATGAACTAAATGCCAGGAATGGGGCCCCACGAAAGCCTGTCTTGTATAGAAACCCAGTGTCAACTGCTGATACAAGCTGGTATAGATCCAGTCCTTTTCTGATGCAGGGGGAAGCAGAGCAACACTAAGACACTGACAGGCAAGGGTGGGTCAGACAGGACAGGCCCCAGCACAAGTGAGGCAGCCAGGAAGCTTAAGAGCACGGTGCCACTCCCACCAGCCAGCAGGTGGGGTAGCATGGGAAAGTTGGGTGTTCACTTGGTGAACAAGCTTTGGCCACATCCTGGTACCCAGAAGCTAAGCATTAACGCCCTCCAGTTACACAGCCATTAAAACAAGGGCTCCAGGTTGATAGCTTATGGACTTTCACGGCCATCATAGGCTTTCTCTGACCCATGTAGGGGTCTGTTCCAAAACATTCATGTAAGTATTCCTTGACTGCATTGTAGGCGCTTTGTAAACTGAGATGATTAAGTAGGCAGATGCCTGGCCATAAACTTGGGAGAGAACTCATGACAGCCCAGTTAGGGTCCTGCTATTTTCTCATTAGCACAATTATTTTATACCCAAGCATCATTTACAAATCATGAATGGTAATTTTATAGTTGCATTTTGGAATATTTCACGTAAAGTATAATTTATGTAAGTCTGGGCTTACAGAGGTTGGGGGATACATGCACCCAGGCCTAGTAAAATACCATTTTAGTATCTTGTCAATGGGCATAGACTTGGGTGTGATGAGGCTTAAATCATATCCTGGTAGACTCAGTAATGGTTATAGTTCACTTCAGTTACTGTATGGAAAACCTGCAGTTATAATAGTATCTGCAGTGTACTAGTTGTACCTGCCTAACACTTTGGGCTTTTAACAAGTATTTTCACAGCATTTTATTCCTCTTAAACACCTGTGAAGTAGGGAGAGCAGATAATACTCTGTTGGACACATTCCAGAACTGAGGCCTATATCCAAAAAGTGAGGCTTTACAGTAGGGCTGAAACTGCCAGGTCTTGGGATTACCAGGTTGGCAGCTATCCCACTATCACACTCCAGAATCTGCCTGCCCCATCATAGGGCATAAAGGAATTTCATTGTCCTCATTTGATACAGACATTCTGGGCACCAGCATGGACCCTAACAATTCTCAGCCCTGCAGTTGTCAGCCAGGTAGAGCCTTGGAGTGGGGGCAGAGCCAAACTGGCAACATGGAGCAGAAACCAACACTGCAGGAGTTCCTCCACTTTTCCCCTCAAAGGGCATACAAACAGGATACCCACTAAGACCTGCAGATGAACTGGGGCCAGACCAGTGGACAGGGCCCCCTTCTGCTTGCCTTAGGCCTCTGGTCAAGGAATGGGTCAGCTGAGGGGAGTCAGGTGGGAGGTGTCACTCTCCTGCTCAAGGGGTCTCTCAGGAGGCTCGCTCCCCACACTGCTATACGCTGCTGCTCTTTCATTAGATTCAATTACTGTGACAAAGGGTACTGACCCTCTCTCTGCTAAGCCTGTGCCCTCCCTTCCATGGTCCCATCGGCATCACCCCCTGTAGAGCTAGAGCCTGGAGGTATTTGCCAGTGTCACCAGGAGGACTCAGAGCAGACTCAGGATATGGGAGGATGCCAGCAGCAGCAGCTCCCACACACTCAGGCATGGCTATCTGTGAACCTGTGCCTTCACAGAACCATGTGGGTACAAGGGCACTCATTATTAACAATGTTTTACAGCTGGAGAAACTGAGGCACAAAGTGGTTAGGTGACCTGCCAAGGTCACACAGCTAGTGAGTGATAGCATGCACATGCTCACACATAAAACTTAAATAATATCTTTTTAAAATTAAAATTGTCTTAGATCCAAAGTGGTAATTCTATGTTTACTCCTCCACTTCTTCAGGGGAAGAGGATGGAGATGGGAGGGGAAACCACAAATTGACCTTCACCTGTCAAAAAGAATTTGGGTCTCGATTTCTAGTGCATATGCAGAGTCATGGGTGGGGCTTCCAGTCTCTTCTGTGTCAGACTTAATGAAAACAATCACATTATAGGACACAAAGTTTGCTACTTACATTCACTTCAGTTATAGCAATATCAACGACGCTACCAACAACAATTAAGGCATCAAAAGTGTTCCATGCATCAGTGAAATAGTGCTGTTAGGGCAAGCATTCAGAGCCACAGAGGAGAGGAAGCACAACAGAAAAAAGAAGAAAAGGACAGTGTTATCAAAGGGGAACATTCTAGCACTGTGCCACCTGGCTATTTGAAAAATTGCCCTCAGACAAACATGTTATCGATACATCACTTTGGATATGGCTTCTGACGTAGCAAATAAAAGCAATTACAGATACCCTATCTTACCTTGCCTACTAGTGCCTGGGGTCAATGCTGCCAGAAAGTCAGCCCTACATAGGTAATTTGTGTCTGCAAAGGTGTTAGGCTAAAGCTGTACTTTAAAAGTTCTTCCCACAGCTTTCATTAGGAAATGCCTACTTTCAGATCAGGTGTGATTGGGATCTGTGACTTGTCCAGGTGATGCCACTGCAGGGCAGGGAGCAGAATGTGCAGACAGCAGAGAGAGGACACAAGCCACACGGTGTGTATACTTACGTCTGCTTCGCTGAGGGCCACGTCTATAATGCTGCCGATTACGATGAGGGAGTCAAACGTGTTCCAGGCGTCACTAAAATACCCCTGGACAGAGCAGGTGGGGCAGACGTTTATGAGCACGTATGAATGAAACATCACACGGATCAGAGGGGGACACATCTGAGTCCCCACAGAACCCATGGCAACCAGATGGGATGGGAAAGCCAAAAGGGAGGCAACAATACTGTCCACTGGTGGAAAATGGCACAGAAGGGTGGTTGTGCATCTGTGCATGTAAGAGAGGACACATGTGGGTATATATACACATACACACACATATGCACACGCACTCATGCACATGTATACCACAGACCCTAAGCAGAGAGGGCAACCCTGCCCTGGCACCCAGCATGCTGACCACAAACCATCATGAGCTGATGGAAAAATGAGGCTCTCACAATCTTTTCAATGGTCTCAATCACCCTGCTGATTCTCTTCTCCCACTTAAAAGAGTCCTATAACAAGGTGTTTCACACCTTTTCATTTCTGCACCTCTTCAAACAAACCAGAAGACCTCCCACATCCTCACCAGTCCGGAAAGTATCAGAAAGGCTATGCCCTGTGTCAGGATGACCAAGATGACAAGCTCTTATCTTCAAAGAGCTCTCAATCTAAAGGACACAGACAGACTTGGTCTAAAGGTCACAGACTGCAGGAAGACAGGCACAGAGATGCACACAGACCCAATGACTTTGTGGCAGAGAAACTCTTGCTTATGGAGATGGAGGTCTCTGTGTAGGAAAGCTGAAGCGGTTCTGCAGAGGAAAAGAGTACTAAGAATGAAGAGGATGTTCAAAGGCTCCCATAGCACTTGAGAGAAGCCCCAAATTGCCAATACACTTCTTCTACCTTGACTCTTGCTCTTCCTGCCCTCTTGGTCCTCCAAGCTAAGAGGAACCCTCTACTATCCCTCACACACACCACCAGGCTCCTCCCCACCTCCAGATGCCTTTGCAAGCCTGATCTCCCCACTTCAACTCTCCTGCCCAAATTCACTTCCTCCTTCAAGGTCATATAAATGCCAGCTCTTTCATGGAACATTTTCAGCTTCTCCTAACTGCCCATACTCCATCACGTTGACTGTATCTCTCTCACGCCTTGATCTCTGCAGGTCTACCACATCTTCTGAGGAGGACTGAACTGCTTATTCTGTCCCTACCTCCACCAACTCCAACATCCAGCCCAGATCCCTGAATCCATGTGCTTGATACATGGTGATCTTCTCTCCACAAATGGTACCATACTGGTCATCCAGTTTCTCCCAGTTTCTTGTTTTTTTAGGTTCTCATATCCTGCACTAGGATACAATTGTCCCTATGTTTGTAATTTACAAATCCATATGTATGTGCTATACATATTTACTGGAACCAGCACAGTAAGTGCTAAACTAGTGCCTATTGTCTCCCAACACCCCAGGAAAGCTCCCCCATCACAGGTGGTGAGGCTGTTCTTCATACAGAGACGGGAGTCTTTTGGTTGCCAGAGCTAGACTGTCAAGGCCACTGACTGTCTGTAAACCAACTGTGTCTTCTCAAAAGGTCAGAGCATGTTTTGGAAATAAAAATTCAGGTCTTAATTATATAAAGAGGGGCCAGCATGCTTACAACTGGGTACATTTAGTGTCATATTAAGAAAACCAGAACAGGAGGTACTTTGAAGTATCAGGATCCAGGAATTGGTGATCATATGCAGGCCCAGAGGAAGTCACTTTGGAGCCACAGCTTCTTTGTGACACTATAGAAAATGTGGACATGTTGACTGTCCTCAAAACTGGAGTGGGGATGTTTTTTCTACTTACTATTAGTCACTGCCCCAAGGGAGGGAAAGTTATTACACTCTGGTGGTTTACTGTTTTCATTTCTTGTGAATTAATGTAAGATTTCCCCACCCAACTTCTATGACGTCTGATTCACTGAGCTGCTTCCTCTTAGAATTAGTGCCTCTCCCACACTTGACCCTTACTGATTGCCACTCTCTCAAACCCCTCTCTCAACAGTTTAAGAAGCCAACAAAAGGAGTTCTCCCGTACCAAGTCTGATCATCTGTGAATAGAAGTCTAATTAGAAGGTCCACTTAAAAATACACTCACACCTTCTCAGCTTGTCTTCTCATGAATTCATGACTCTTGGTTGACAAAACTGGGGGAAGATGGACATCTTTGAGGTCTAGACTTGAGATACACACGAGGTCAGAGGTGGGTAAATGGCTGGCACAATGACATAAAGGAAGTTCCCTGACAAGAAGTCAGTGGAATCACAGGGTGCCTTTAGTGTTAGTGCTGATATGCCAGGCTATGAACATGCTGGATCCTCTAGAATCATTTATACTACTGCAAACAGGTGACAAGCAGGTCTCTGACTGCCAGAAGTCCCACAGACTACACTAAGGGGCAAAGCCTGCTCTTTTAGGATGTTAGAGCAATTCAGAGGCTAAAGAGAGTATGGCAATCTTCCCTTCTCCCACAGGAAGGAAGTTATGCCTTAATCAAATGCTTGGTCACCTGTAGCCACTAGACTTCTCAAGTACTTCCGAGCAGTGAGGCCTGTCTCATATGCTCTCCATCTCTCCTGTTGCTTGACAGATTTTTCAGAGTCCAGACCCACCATATACTGGACACCAGCCCCTCCCATAGCACAACCTCCCAGGCTCAGAGTGACCTGGGTATCCACTGTTGGGTCATTTCCATCAGCCTACAAGCTATTTCCCACGGAGCCAGCTCTGGTGCACTGTAGTAGATAAAATCCCTTCAAATCGATATGACACAGGGCTTAATGCTTCTTTTGGGTTCTGGAACTTTTTGGAAAAATCAGTGATCATCTCTCTCTCTGGAGAATTCCTTCACAGACATAAAATGATACCCAAATCCTCATGTTCACAGACCCAGTGTAGGCAACAGAAGGCTTGACTTGATGCAGGTGGCTGGAATCAAAGGCTCTAATAGGAGTCCAGGGAGGCAGAAAATGATAGCCCTCCCTTTCTTCCCACATACTGTTTCCCTGTTTAGCAGCCTCCTATTTAATAAAAATCACTCAAAGTGAGCATGACTCAATTCTCCCACCCTTTCTGCACCAAAGGCACCACAGCATTTTGTGATAGTAAGACATGGTCTTCTAGCATAGGGTCCATTTTCACGTTCTGTCCTCTTTGATGATAATGATATGTTCTCTTACAACTGAATTCTCAAGTCAGGGCCTCTTAAGTGGAACCAGCAATAAACTCCTTTTAACAGCCCTGCCTGCCTAAAAAGACTAAGCAAGTCAATCACATGCTATAACACTTATTCAGAAATATTTCTGACTCTGGAAATTTAAAGTCATGAACCAGACTACGGGCCTTAGAGACATGCAACAACATTATTTCTAAGAACCATATTCTGATTGACTGTCCACGTCTGACAATGGGCTCCTGGAAGGCAAAAACTGGGCTTTTGGACTATTCCTGGATCTCTAGCCAGGATAGAACACAGGCTTGGTACATGTAGGTAGAATGGCTGTAAATGAGAAACGAAAAAAGCAGCCCAAGTCCAGATTCTTTCTGTTGCTTCTGCAGATCTGAAGAATGCAGATCTGTATAAATGACCTGCCTTTGTCACGTATCATGACAGCAGGATCATTTCCCAATTTCTGGCATGGACGTTTGGGCAATATTTGACCCAAGTGATGGTCCACGGTGCCAACTTTTAGCAGAACCATATCTGACAACTTTATAACTAGCATAAGCCCTTTTTTTTCCAAAGGTAAAGTAGAGGCTCAAAAGAAAACATACCCCACTCAGACAACTCTGCTCTACTCAGATATCCTGAGATAGAAAAGCAAGTACCATCTTAGGCAAAGCTGTACCTACAGGCTCATCCATTACTTCCTTTTGTCATTCCACCAATCTTTACTGAGTAACCACAAGTAGCAGACATTAGGGGAGGGCCTGTGGACCCAAAGACAGAAAATGAAGAAAGAGATGTGGAGCAATGTTGATAAGACCAATGCATAGTAAGTACAACATGTGAAGGGTAAGGCTGGGCTCGGCTTGGCTGGGCTGAGGACAGGTCACAGAGGAGTAATGCTTCCTGTGGGTCTTAAAGCATAACAATGAGAAAGGACTTCTAGACCAAGGCCTGGGGGCATGGAAAGATCTAGCACCTTCACATTTGGGGAAGGGGTGGGAAGGAAGGAATAGCAGGGAGAAAGTGGTAGGAAGTGAGGCAGAAATAGACCTGGACCAGTGTTTTGTGGAGGATTTTGAAAATTAGGCTACAATGATTATACATTTTTATTTTAAGCAATAGATGGCCAGTGCTAGAATTTCACTGGTCAACTTTTTCCTTACAAAGGGAGTAAGTGGAAGATGAAGGGAAGGACTGAGGCTACAGGCAGGAGACCACCAAGAAAGCAAGCAGAGTAGCTTTAGGAGAAAGGAGGGCAGGCAGGTCTGGATGAGACAAAGAGGGCCACTGAGGCCCTGGGCATGTGTATATCTTACACCGAGAGAAAAGGACTGGGAGGGAGCTTTTGAGACCTCGACGGGATGAGAGGATGGAGCCCATTAAGAAGACCAGTGTAAAGTTCTAAAGGCAGTAATAATTTGGTTTCAAGCATTATTTGGCATTGAAAATAAATCACTTACAAAGACAGGATCACTGAAGAACTGAAAAGCCAGTATGGAATTTTCTTTCCAGGAGGTAGAGAACATGTTCTAGAAAGATTGCTGAGACTTTATCAAGAAGCTCTACTCCTGCCAGGTGCCCTGAAGTAGGAAGTGCTGCCCAGGGAAAGATGGGACCAGATGACCCAAGGCCCATTGTACAATGGCTCTGTACAGAAGCAGGGGGCAGCACTGAAACCCTTCTTCCCCAACCCCAACTTCTCTTTAATTTTCCAAGCCCAAATGACTAGGAGTATAATTTAGACATTTTCAGGATAGAACCAAGATCAGAAGGCTTTGGGGACCAAGACTAGGGAAGAATGGGACTCCCTGGAGAAAATCCCACAAGAATGACAGATAGTCTGGGCCTGGGTCAAGTTCTGGATCAAACACCAGATAGGAGAATCCAGACAGACTGGGACTTATGACTCCACAAAAGGCTTTTTATACTGGCTGCAGCTATATTTTGGGAAAGGCTCTTCTTCCTGAATCTTCCTCAATGGAGCATGAGAACTTACTGGAGAATTCCAGCAGCTTCCCTGGGAGCACTGCAGGCAAAGGCCAGGTGAATGGGCTCGTCTCTTACCTAAATTATTAGCTGCCTTTCAAAACACTATGGTTTCATAGTGTTTCATTGGTCGGCTCCAAGATGAAAGCCCAACGTAGAGTATACCACGTGAATGCCCAACAGGTGGATTTCTCTTTGGGGATTCAATAAAATATAAACTAAATAACCTTCTTGCCTTTCCCTAATTCTTTTGTTTTTTGGGTTTTTTTTTTTTTTTTGGTTTCTCATCACCTTCCACTCTTGCCTGACCGACATTCAATATCAACTCTGTGTAGTGAAACTGCCTCCTCACTGTGAAATTCCCAGCTCTGAGTCTCATACTTCCGCCCCCATCCCTACCTCATGCCTTTCAACTTGTGGATGCTGGGTAACCTGATCCCACATGGCCTTGGACCATTTCCCTCTAAATGCACTCCTACAGGACGCCCTGTTTCTCAGTCAGATTCCCTTATATACAACAAGTTCTAAAGGTCAGATTCCTCACATTGTTTTAACCCTTGCCTGCTGAAATGCCTTTTCACCTACCACTAAGAATTATTGTTCAACTTCACTTTCTGCATTTGCTTTACAGAAAAACTGCAAACCTGTCTTCTGACAGAGATGCTGAGGAGTCCTTCCAGAAGATGTGCCCACACAGTGCAGAAGGCTGTCCCAAGGGATACTGGCACAGAGCTCCCCGCACAAGAGACAAAGACTGTCCTAAGATGGGTCATCTCCTTGAAACACTCATCCCTCGGCAGCTTTGCTATTGCTCCTTAGCTTGACTACCCCACTGACCAGGACAGAGGGGGCCTCACTGGCTCCTTTGTAAAAGACCACCCTTGTGTGGACAACAAAGAGAAAACTGAGTTTTAAATGTTAGGAAGGATTTCAAGAAGAGCTCTTCTTTGCTTCTTGGTGGACTTGTTCTCTCCCAGCATCCAGGCACAGAGTAATGTAAAACTTATCACCCTGGTTTTGCTGAACACAGTGACAATGTTCTTCAGGGTGCAGAGATGCTACTGTTATTTCAAAAGTCCTCTTGATTGTAATTTGAGGTCATCTCAGGCTATGAAAATATCTTGCTGAGTAAAACTACAAAGCAATGCAGTTTCTGGTGGAAATCACCCATTTAAAAATTCTGATCTATCAGTACTGATTATGAATTAGCTACTCATTTCTCCCTTGGTATCGCCCATCTGCTCACATACCACTGTACTCTCCTCCCAGCGTGGAGGTTTACTGGACCAAGAAGTGTGCTGCACACCACTGATATGCATGCGTGCACACACACACACACACACACACTCATACACTCAGGTGCATAGGCACACATGCACACATGTGTGCACTCATTGTGGGTGACTGTGCTCTCTCTTCAGCCTGGACAAGCTTTCAAAAAGTTCAAAGCTTAATCATCAGGAAAAAAGAAGACAAGGCACAAATGTCTGGGAAATGTTCCATAGATATATTCCCATGTGCATTTCTCAAGAACCAGGTTCTTACTCTGCAAACTTTTCCATCAGTTCAGACAAATATTGTTTAAAGAAGTAAAGGTGAGAGGGAAGCAAATTAAAATCTCAAAGGAAATTAAGATGAATTTGGACAAGGAAGAAATGTTTTATATGTAGATATGGACAAGTCACAGTAGGTAATATCTGGCCATGCATAAGGTGCCAAATTTGACCCCACTGCAATCACCCCAATTAATCACTTACAAATGTCCTTTCTTTTTGGTCCACAAAGATCTGATAAAGATTGCATAAAAATTAATTGAAATTAAAGAAAGGAACAGTTTGGAATTAGAATTTCATGTAACTATGGAGTATATGAAACCATCCATATCTTAATCTATGCTTTACTTCAATAAGTGTTGTCAGATGGCTTACAAAGGACATATAACTAGGGTGCTGGGCTCTGTCACTCTAACTGTGAGAGTTTGGAAGGAGACTTGAGATTCATTTTGGTGGGTTCAGCTCAGCTCTTCTTGTCTAGGAGTCTAGAATGAGGGAACATTATTGCTTGATGATGGTGGTGGTGGTGGTACTGAAACAGTAGCTGGCAGTCTACAGCATGTCACCACCTGCTCGGCATGCTTTTAAGCACTGGATATAGGAATTCTTTACACCTTACAACATTCCACAAAATAGGACTATGATTATCATCATGTTATGGATGAGAAAACTTAGGCACAGGGCAGTGAAGAAATGTGCTTAAGCTATTAAGTAGCAGAGTGAGGATCTGAATTCAGTGCAGTTCCAGAAGTATGCTCTTTGACTCTGAGCTACACAGCCTCTTACACCACAGCCTTTGGCAAACATGGGATTGGAGTCACTCCCTCCCAAAGGAGATGCAATGGTGAGTCCTCCAACACTGCTTAACATCTTTCACATATTGCTTTCTTAAAGTCAAGTGAGAATTTTCTAAATTAAACAAACAAAAGGTGATACGGCTGTGAGAGGACCACAGTTGATACTAGAATTTTCCATAAAAGGTGAAAAGGCTGCTAGAGGCCAAGAACAAATAAAACCAGGCTTTGAGCTAGAAATCTGAAAGTAAAATCAGGGTCAAACTCTTTCTAAAGGTTCTATTCAAACACTTCCCCAATGCCGAGATAATGAGGCAAGTTTCCCTGAGACGGCATGATTCTTGCCATTCTAGAAACAGAAAACTAGCTTTCAAAAACATCTTCAGCCTACAAATTCCCAACTCTCTCCTCTTCTTCTTCTTAGAATTGTTTGCATGAGGTTTTGTTTTCTGCAGATTTATTTTCCCACATGTATACAGATATCCTATCAGATTTTAATGTTCTCAGGTGGTAACCTAGTTAGCAGCCAGAACAAGTTCACACAAGTCAGTAACACAAGGCTAACAGGAAGCAGGTGCTTCTCTGGGGGGTGCTATAGCAATAGCCTTTGCAAACTGGATTCAGCAACTCACCTTAGGCTTAAATGCAATGACCTTCAAAACCATCTCAACAGTGAACACCCCAGTGAAGACCATGTTCAGAACATCCATGGCATCATTGAACATCTTGGACTGCTCATAGTGCTAGATAAAGAAAGAGGTACAGTTCTGAGGCTCAGCCATGATCTCACGCCCTTGCAAATGGAGGCTCCCCAGCCCTCTGCAACCCTGTAGGGATCCTCTATGGCTCAGTACCCTTTCCCAACAATGTGACCAGCACTGTGAACTCCCACAAAGTGCAGGGGGTCCATGACAAGATGAGGATGATTGAATGAGGGAGGGAGAAAACATGTCTATTCTCTCAGCTGAGAATAGGGGATCCACCCTTTCATCTGGCAGGACTTATACACAGGCCCTTGACTAACACACACTGCACACACCACAAAAATGTCTATGAATAAAGATAGAATTTATTTCATGGTAGGGATAAATTTCACACCATTTAGGTCCATCATTAATAAATGATGGTATTACCTTGACTTTATACTTTTCTCTATACCAGCATATGTTTATGTTCATAAAGAATTTTTTTTTTGATAGTACTGGGGTTTGAGCTCAGGGCTTCACATTTGCTATGCAGGCACTCTACCACTTGAGCCACTCCACCAGCCCTTCATAAAGAATTCTTAAGTTAAAAAAAATTATCTTTGACTGTAAACCTGTTTTCCAGACAGCACTGAGAGTTGGTTTGATTTGCTCAAGCTCATCAAGTCTGGGCAAAATCTGGATCCAGACCTTGATTTTGGGCTTCTTGGTCTAGTGTCATTTCTGCTAGACTGCATCATTTCTGAAGATGTTCACTGTTGATACTGTTCTACAATCTGACTTGGCCAATTCAAGTGAGTTGCGTCCCTTGCTCCAATGTCAGCAAAAAGCAATTGTAATCAGATCAAACCCAGCATTTCATATACTAGAAAACTCATCACCATACTAGTAGCACCTTGAAGACAGGAATATAAATTGAGGTTTGTTTTTCAACATTGAGTGTAACAGGCTCAGATCAAAGTGCCAGACACAAATAATTTAGCATGAACCTTTTCTGAGATAAGGGTGATAGACTTCTCCATTTTATCAATAAAGAAAGTGAAGCTTAGGGGATTAAAATAAATTTCCCTGGACTGGAAACTTTCCTGCCCCACTCGTAAGGAGTAAAACCAGGACTAAGTTGCCTGCCAGTGGAACTCCTAAGCTTTGATCCACAATTGCCCCCTCACCCCCATGGAACTGAATGCCACATGTAGGCGCCACAGAAATGTTACCTACCGTCATGCTGTACAGACCATCTCAAACAAAGGAGAGATCTGAAATGTCTACCATGAAACAGTCAGAATGGGACTCTGGCCACACTATAGCCCGGACTCATTAGAAAATCAAAGCCATCCTCTCATGAGGGGAGACTCTGCCCTCAGAATCTGGGGTATGGGGCTGTGCAGAATGCCCAGACTTGGTCCCCACAGCTGTCTCCATTTTTACCTGCATGGCCAAGCAGAGTGTGTTGAGCATGATGAGGACAAACATCATGTATTCGAAAGGCGAAGAGTTCACCACGTACCAGAACTTGTACTGGTAGGGGTTTTTGGGGATGTATCTCCGCAACGGACGTGCTTTCAAGGCATATTCCACACACTGACGCTGCAACGGCAGAAAAGGGCAAACATGGAGGTCTGAGCACTTCTAGGGAAGAAGTACACAGTGCTCATCTGCCCTCTGAGAACTCATGCCAGCCTCCTGGGAAGGGACCACGGACGATGGTGTAAATGACATGAGCAACCACACTTCCTGATATGGCACCACCAAGTCACTGAGGGACCAGCATACATCACTGTCTCTGCTCCTCATGACAACCTCAGAGGTAAAAAGCACACACATTTTGCTTACTAAAAACTGCAGCCAGAAATCCAGGAGTGGTAGTTACTGCCTATAATCTCAGGTACTAGGAAGGCTGAGGTAGGAGGATAGAGGTCCAATGACAGCCTAAGCAAAAGCACAAGACCCTATCTAAAAAACAAACTAACAGCAAAAGGACTAGGGGCCCAAGGCTCAAGTGGTAGAGCGCTTGCAGAGTAAGTGTGAGGCCCTGAGTGCAAGCCCTAGTACTGCAACAAACAAATGAAAAACTGTAGCCAAGGATTTTACTGTGGTCCTACAGTATATATACCCACATAGCAGCAAGGACTTAGCCTGGCCTTGTCACTGTCTTTGCACTACCAGTTGGTTTTGTCCATAGGAATGCTTGTATTGTCCCACAGAAGAGGAAACCAGCTATCAACAGACAAATTTTTCAAGAACCAGAAGGGCTAGGCTCACTTCCTGAGACTGGAGTCCCCTGGTTACTCAGATGGAACCATGTAAGATGCCATGACTGTGTTAGCCACTGATGTCTTATGGTAGGCTGTCTATGTGTCCCTCTGGGAGATTTGGGGGCTTGGGAGCCTGGCATGTTCATTTCAGAATTCCCAGGGGATAGTAATGACAACCAGATTGAACTAAAGTTGGTCCTAACTACAGCACTGTCCTTCCCACTCATTCTGGGGATAGAGAGTGGTTCACCTTCTGCAGCAAGACCAGAGAGAGCCTCCAGGCCTGACAGCTCACAGCCAGTCTCAAGTCCCTAGCCCTGCCCCACTCTCCTGCTTTGACTCTAGATGTAGCAGGTTCAGATAGGCTTCATTTGTTCAGGAATTGGTGTTAGTCTACCTGCTGACTATAGGAATCCCCAGTTTGAGTCTGTTGGGGGATCTTAGGTGATAAAAACTTAAGCACTACACTGCGTGGGAAAAGGGCTGGGTCAGACCTTCGTGGACTATCACTAGTAGTATTTGCAAGAACACCGTAAGAACTCAAAGAAAAGTCCTCCTACAAACCAGGCCAGTGCATCCTCACATTTCCCATAGTGTGCACAGCCATAGCCATAGCCACTTCACCTTAGGAAGCCCTGGCTGTCAGATCATTATTTCTTATTATGTCATCATTGTTTCTTACTATGTTATTACCAAAGCAGAGAAGCTACTGATAGAGGACCAAGGGAAACTCCCAGAACAGACTCTCAATCTCTGCCACTCTTCTATGGTTCAAAAGACCTTTTAAGGAGTAAGTCCTTGATGCCCTTAACGTAGATGTAAGGTGATGAGAGCAGAGATACACCTGACATCACAGAGCAGGTTCAGGCACAGCAGTGCCAGAACTCAGGCTCTTGTTTTGCTCATACCACCAACAGAGCAAGGCCTCTACTTTTTCCAGACTGGCTAAAACAAGGAGCTAAAGAAAGAATGATGTTGGTGAAAACCTTAGTCCCAAGTTCAAAGTTCCCCTCTGCTGTTTTGAGGGTTTTTCCTCCTAACTCGGTTCTTGACCATGGGTAACAATGGTTCTCAGAAGTCTTCAGATAATGTCTGGGAAAGTTAGGATTTCACCACTGGAGGAAGGGGGTGCTACTGATACCTAGTGAGTAGAGGCCAGGAATGTTACTCAATATCCTAAAGCCCCAACAAGAATTATCTAGCCTACAACATCCAAGAGGGGCAAGCTGAAGAAATTCTGCCCTAAGTAAATACTGTGAAAAATTGAGTGGGTGTTTTCTGGCCCTGTGCCCCAGCACCCTATAAGATTCCGAGCCATCAGAAGTGAGGCCTGACCTAAGTATCTCTGATTTCTCACCCACAGGCCTGGTGGTTGGTTTCACAATTACAGTCTATTCTGCATGTGGTTCTGAGGATAAAACCAAGGGCAAGCACTCCACCACTGAGCTACATCCTCAGCCTGTTCACAGTCGATTTTATATCAGGGGACCTAACTTTCTACAGTGAAGAGAATGTGCTCTTCACTGGTGGAGACCTGAACTCAGATGGGTGCCTTTCTCTGTGCACAAAAAAAGCAGTCAAAAGAGGAGACACTGCTCTTGCTCAAGGGACAGAAGCACAAACAGTGTGTGACTTTAACCTGATTTTTGTCCAGCTCACAGTTCTTATACTCTTTTTCTCCCTGCTCCTGAAATGTAACGATGACAAAGCCCACAAAAATGTTCATCATGAAGAAAGCAACAATGATGATGTAGATGATAAAGAAGATGGAGATCTCCACGCGGTGGTTGTAGACTGGGCCAACATTCTCTCCGTTGGAGTCGATGGCTTTATACAGCAACCTGGGGAGCAGAAAAACCAAGTGAGGACCTTCCAACCCCACTCAGCCCAAGTGGCCCAGCCCGCTGCCCTTTCAGATGTCCCCAGAGTTTTTCTAAACTCTTCTTGTGAGAATCGATTGTCAATCCCTCAAAGGTACCCTGAAGTTCTGCCAGCCCACAAGGACCAGCCCGCCCACCTTCTGCAGCTCCTGTGGGCATGGGACATCAGAAGGGGAGTGACAAAGGGGCAAGAAACTCTCCATTTTGTCTTCTACCTTCTTTCTGATCTTCTTACTTTACCCACCCACATCCTAGCCATTCTTCTAGACCCTTATTTTACACATCTAGGACATGCCAGAGCTCCTGTCTACTTTGACCACCTGATATTCTTACTGGATTTGGGATTTGCAGGGAGGAGCTATGTTCAGACCACTCTGTTTCTTCCACAGCAGCTAGCACAGCATGTTGTATGACGATGGTATTAAAAGCACACTTTATGAGCATGGAAGAACTGTCTGATGGCAACCAACCATGCCTGGCATATATTAGCATTACTATCAGGATGAATGAATGGTTTGGGATACTGGCAAGACCCCTATTAGGAACAGCAGAGGGGCAGCTTACTGAAATGACTACCAATGACAGTTTGCTCAGCACATTCCTCTTATGACTCCTTAGTCCCATCCAGAGATGCTTCTCAGGACCTGTACTGTCCCTGCTTCAAATCTGAGAGCGCTGTTAGTAGGCCATAGATGTTCCTCATTTGCATACTCAGATAGAAGAGCCATATGGGCCAAGAAGTGATAAGCGGCCCAAAGTTAAGAGTCATAGGGCAAGAATGCAACTGTGAAGAACAAAAGTGGGATTCGCTACTGGAGGGAGGACTCAGCCAGAGCCTCCCTGAGGAGCAGCAGGAGTCTCAATGGAAGACTGTGTGTCTTTATACTTACGCAGGCCAGCCCTCAAATGTGGAAACTGTGAAGAGTGCCATCATAGCAGAAAGGACGTTGTCAAAGTTGAAATCACTATTTTGCCAGATCCTCTCACGGACCACAGGACTATTGACATCCCCATCCTTGTAAAGGATGAAAAGTCCTCTGGAGAGCAAAAAAAGAATGAACCATCCTAGCTTTCTATGTGACAGCAGAAATAGCAATTAAGTCAGTCACATGGCCCCAGTCCCACCTCCAGGATGTCATACTCAGCCCCACAAAAGCAGAGTTTCTCCTTTGCTCCTCTAATATTTAATCTATAGATCAAATGACTATTGAGTAATGACTAATGAAAAGTGTATTCTCCAAAGCAGCTAAGGAGACACCCCACATATGTCTGTTAATAAACACAAACCACCAAACAGTAAATGTTTCTCATATAAAACAGGCTCAAAGTATGTATGTTGAAGAATCTAAGCTTTGGCCACAGAGAATTCTTTAAGTTCTGGGACATGAGCCCAATATACTCTTATCTGCATCCCAATTTTCTTTCCAAAAGAATTCTCAAACAGCTATTATATGATATTTCTCACAGTACTTGACTTCTGGGGAGAACCAAAGAGATAAAAGTCTGTGATTATTATTTCACACATGAGGAAGCAGAGGCTGCTGGAGGGAAAGGAAAGTATCTCCATACTGCTGCTGTGCTGCTCAGCTCCCAGGGGCGCTGTGCCACCCTCCAACCTGGGTGAATGGTTGCTTTGGACTGTACCTCGTACCCTGGGACCATACACCTTCTGCTGAAGGAAACTCCAAACCAATGAGGGTAGGGCGGGCAGCTAGACAGTAGTCAGCATATCTCTGAAGGACAGGGACACATATTCTCTACCACTTTAGGGTCTAGACAATGCTTCCACACCAGCCTTCATGCTTACTGGGCATCTTGGAAGAAGAGGCAATGAACATTTCCTCTGAGAGATGAATGGCCATGTGTATGGCCAAAACAAGTAAGCGGAGAAGTGAAGAAGTCTAGAAGAGAAAGCCAGCTCCCGAACACCTGGGAGTTGAGCTGCAAGTTCTGATGTGGAGGACTATCATCCATATGGATATAAGAGGAGCTACTTGACGGGCATTTCATCATTGTTATTTCAGGGTTCCTTCCCTACAGTTTAGAAATTCCTTACAGAACAGCAAAAGAACCTATCTATTCTTCTGGGAAGACAAAGTTTTGAAACTGCACAACTAAATGCCATTGAACGGCTTATTTTATGTTTAGTGAATTTTGCCTCAATTTAGAAAACAGACAACAAAAAAATAACCACTATCATGTCAACCATGACACGAGCACATGAAACTTATAAAATGCTAGCATGAGTGAATCCTTAATGTTTTCTGTTTGTTCTCTCAAATTCCCTACTCTGCTCTCAGGACACTCACCTGCATTCTTCAGGGTTACTTTTGGCTTCATCAGTGCAGCGATAAAATTTCCCCTGGGCACAAAACAGAAAGATGGTCAAGCATAGGCTCCTTCCTATAGAAATCAACCTGAACCATGTGTAAAGGGGCTCCTACCTTGAACAACTGGACCCCGATGCAGGCAAACATGAACTGAAGCAGGGTGGTGACAATCATGATGTTACCAATTGTCCGGATGGCCACGAAGACGCACTGAACAACGTGCTGGTGAGAGAAAAGCACGGAGACGTTCCTTCACTATTTTAGTCACAGGGTGAGCCAACACCTGCCAAGAGCTTCTATTTTTTTGTGCATTTTTATATCATTCTCCAACTTTGCAGTCCTTTGTGCTTTGTTTTCCAGGTTATCTGCAGAGAGGTTCTACAGTGCATCATGAGGAACACATTGTAAGTGGGGCCCTCTTCAGTTTTCTCAAAAGTGGCTGGTTTACTTGAAATAAATGCACCACCTGGCCCACACTCACAGGACCCCCAACCTGTAAAGGATTTAAGAAAATGCAAACCCTCTAGCCTCGAAAGCATGAGAATAGATTCACAGTTTTAAATAAACACACAGTATATGTGTATGAAAACAGAACAATAGAACCTGTTGAAATTATTCTAAGAAGTTGGGGAGGGGAAATGAGGAAGAATGATAGAGAGGGTGAATCTAATTAAGACACAATGTAAGCATATATATAAATGTCACAATGAAACCTCCCTGTATACCTAATATATGCTAATAAAAATGTCAAAAAAATAAAAAACACAAAGAAATACTATTCATAATGAAAAAATTAAAAAGGAACAATAATTATAAGGAAAAACATCTCAAATTAACAAAAAGTAAATATTTTTTAAAATGACATTGGTACTGGGCAGAGGTGGCTTAATTGGTGGAAAGGTCTCATCTTGAAATCCATCAGGCCTTAGCTCAGCCCTGGCCCAGAAGAGGCAATAATGACAGCCAACCCTAACCCAGGCCAGCCCTGCTAGAAGGATGGGAATTAATACCTTAAGTCCTTTTGCTCTGTTGATTGCTCTGAGGGGCCTTAGGACCCTTAAGACCCTCAGAATCTTCACAACAGAGATGGCACTGGATCTAAGGAAGAGCACAGATAAGAAAGCAAGGAAAGTTTATTAAGGATGTATTAAGAATACTTGTACATGAGTTACTTCACTTAACCCGCATCTCTTTAATAATCACTACACCATTTCCACGGGATCCACTTAAGCCATCCTGCCAATAATCCTGGGTGTACACGTACACACACACACGCACACACGAATACTTACTGAATCCCAAATGACACCAGAGACACCCCGACAACCAGCATATCCAGCAAATTGAAATAGTTCCTGCAGAAAGCCCCTTTGTGTAGGAAAGCTCCAAAAGTTGTCATCTATAAACAGAATCATGAGTCACTATTTTTTTTTCTTTCGTCACTATTTTTTTTTCTTTCCACAGGCAAAGAAACCTAGGCTTTTCACAAAATCTTGAAGAAAGTATGACTTTATTAACAACTGCATGTCTGGAAGCCAGAGATGTAAACCAGTAAGGATAAGCAATCAAATAACCTAGTCAAACAAAAATGGAAAAGAGGCAGTTGATTTCACACTCATTTTTGAAGAGACCAATCTAGACATTATTACCACAATGACAGATTCCAAATATGAATCTATTGCTGGCTTGTCTCAGGAGAGACTGCATGTATTTGTGAGAATGTCATTGCTGCCAGACAACTTGGCTTCCCCACAAAATGCTGGTCTGGCCTTCCTGAGATCCATTAGAGCCTCCATTGTTCCAACTGAGCCTTCCTAGTGAAGGCAGCAAAAGCACTGGAGTCCAGCACTCACATTCTATTTACATAGAGACTCACATCCTTTTTCCATGAAGGCCTCTTACTATTGCCCTTAAGTCTTTAATGACCCACCCATTTCGTGATTCACTCCTTTATGGTTACTCTAACACGTGCCAGGTATGGCAAGGGAGCTGCAGTGTGACACCACAGCTAGGTCTCACTACTTCCCCGACACTTGCCTTGAAGACCTGGAGCACATTTTCTGGGTGCTCCAGTTAGACTTCTACTGACGGGAAGAGAGTTTAGTAAGGAAGTTCTGCACAGTAAAAACAGCAAAATATAGAAAGTTCACTATTTTGAAAAAAAAATGGGTACAGTGAAGGGTATACAGTTACCCTCAATCTGATAGTATCAGTTTTATCAATCTGATAAAACTGCCAATATTCAATCATTTTGACTTATAAAAATGGCAATTTCACAGAGTTTAAACAAATTAACAAATAGCCTTCCAAGTCTCCCCAAGGCTACCAGGAGCCAGCATTTTAGATGTCAGATCATTCTTGATGAATTTCCATTTTCTGAATCCTTCTTGTTTTAGCTTATTTTCCATCTGCTAAAATATCTTCAAAATGAAGATTTAGAAGATTTAAGTCACTGATGCAAATCTACAGAAATTAAAAAGTAGCAATCATTTTTTTCCCTTTTAAATAACACAGGATCTCATTTTCTCCAAAGCCCAAGAGTAAGTATATTCATTTAACAACTTAAAAAGGTGGAAAGTAAAATGAAACCTCAATTAACCAGGCTAATAGACTAAATAGAACACTTCTCCATTCAGTTTGAGGGGACAGCAAATGACAAAAACAAGAAGCTGAGGCAGGAGCAGAAGCCAGAGAGACCGCTGACCCCCTACTCTGTGTGTTCTGCACCAAGTCTTTACCACAGAGCCCCTATAAACCCCTGGCCACCGTTTCCCTGCACAGCTCTGTCTTAGGACCAGCAACCAAATTCGCTGGCTTATTTAGGCAAGAAAATAAACCTGGATTTTTATAACATTTGAAACAAAGATTTAAAGCAATGTTGGTTGGTTTTGAGCTAATTTTCCATTAACCACTGAAAAGGAGACCATTCCCTGGCCACGCTGAGGTTTCATTTATAAAAGATTTTGTGAAGAACCCAAGTTCCACAGTAGTCTAAGATAAAGTACATTGTTCCCTGAAATGCACATACAAAAACCTCAAAGTGGTTAAAGATAATTGTGGTTAAAACCTTCATTTCTCAGCCTCTTCTTTTTAAGAGATGCCTGCTCTGACAGTTCTCATGGGCCATGTTCTCCCAGAATCACAAGGGCCCACTCCTGGAGGCTCTTATCTCTCTGTTGTTGGTCTCTGGACTTCTGGGCACGTAGGAAGGAGCTCCCTGGTGGGTGGCCTTCACAGTCAGTACACAAACCACATGCAGCAACAGCAACTGTTAGCTCATGCATGGGCAGTACATTTAGGTCACCCTGTATGCAGGGTGTTCCCTTTGTTTGTATAAATGCAAGCCCATCCATTAAAACAGAGAGAAACTATCTTAACACAAGTGGACCCAAGTTATCTTGCAAATCCCATTGCAAGAAAATAGTAAGGTACTATTTTAGGTCACCAAAATGCAATCAGAGAAACAAAAGGAGAGGCATTCCCTTCATAGGATAAATGTTCCCTCTGACTTTGACGTCAAGAAGAGTAGAAAAAAATTCACACGTGGTGCTGTATCTGTTGTCAGTGGACAGATTTCAGAGGATTATTTTTTTTTAAGGAGCAAAATATAATTCCAACTATCATGTGAAAGCCAAAGTAGCTCCTACATGCACTCAAAAGTTAAAAAGAAACAACAACAACAAGTTGGAACAGTCATAGAAAAAAAATCCTTTGATTAAAAAAAAAAGATTAACTTGATCACAAAAGACTGAAAAAAAAAAAAACCAAACAAAGCACTTCACGCTTCTTTCGTGTGTGTCACACGCAGGAGCATGTGTTTAAGGAAACACACTGCTGGGTAGCCTGTTACCTTCAAAATGATCTCAAATGCAAAAGTACCAGTGAAGACATAATCTGCATAACCTAGCATCTGGAAGGTAAACAAAGAGTGGCAACTATTATTGCTTCAGCTGCTTTAGAGTAGTGAAGATCAATGAAAACGCCGTTACCTTTAACAGGATTTCAACAGTAAAGATGGCTGTGAAAGCATAGTCAAAGTAACCCAGTATCTGCAAGGCATAATATGTAGAAATGAGAACAAGGCACTGGCAAGCTGCCACAGCTACATACCCACCAGCAGAACCCTGACCTCAGTCTGAGACCTGCTCTACCAAATCAACCCTGCCATTCCGGAGTAGAGCAAAGATGCTCATAAGGGCACACCTTATTGCAACCAGCTCCTCTTTGTAACCAGCAAGGAGCAGTGGGGAGCCTCACCTCCTTTAGACACTCAGACCAACTGGCTTCTGAGGCTTGAGCTCTGGACCTACAGGGGCTAGTTTCTGAAAGTGCTATATTAATCTTTCTTCACCAGTGTGTTCCATCTACCAATGACTTGTGGTCCCTGATAAATTACAGTCATACACATTTTTAATTTTTAACTGAACTTTGGCTGAATGAAGTATGTTACCATCTAGCTGAGCTTCAGATTGGTAGAGAAATGTAAATAAAGGTGTTAGTGGCAAGACCGGGAGAGTAGCTCAGTGATAGAGTACTTTTCTGGCATTCATAAGATTCTGTGTTCCATCCCCAGTATGGCAAAAAAAAAAAAAAAAAAAAGTTTAAAAAAATGTTAGTAGCATCAAATAGGGCCAGAAGCTTCTACCTTTCTCATTAGATTCCTGCCTAGTTAATCAGCAAACAATCTCTCCCCGACCCATGTGTCAGGTGGGCTCAGTCTGCAAGGTACGGTTTTACTGTCTTTTTCTTGTCATTATTGCTTCTAACTTTGCCCTCTCCCAAGACTGATTTTTACCCACTGGAAGAATAGACGGACTTGACCTTTGAATTTTTAGTCTGACTACTCTGCCAGCATTCTTGACGATGCCATCTATAATCCAACAGAGTTCTCTTGGCCCATTCTGGATCCCTGAATCCCTGTAAGGGTCCTGGGGACTCAGAGGCAGGGCAAGTGGGCCAGTAGCAAGAAGTCTAACCACTCCAGCTAGGCCAGTTGCAGGGAACTGCTCACCTGTGCCCTCCCCCACAAAGATGATGACAAGACTCTATACTAGACAAGACTGTCTTTGCTGCTGATCTTCATGGCAACAGTGCTGTGGTTTTGAAAGAACTGAAAATGTCAAGAACTGGAAGGACTATGGAGACTACCCACGCCTACTCTTTTCACTGAAGAGAACCGGATGCTGAGAACAAGCAGGGACACCTGCTCAGGCCACTAAACCATTCACAGCATTGTTGAGCAAGGAGGTGGGCTGTTGGGTGCTAGTGAGAGCCCTGGGGCCATTTTATCTCACATGTGGGAACCATTACAGGACAGCTCTCTGCTGCTCCTTCTCAGGAAGGCAAAGACCTCTGCTTCATGGGCCAGTTCTCTCCAGAGGAAATGCTCTCTTCAGAGGGTACTTCTGTTCCAGTTTGTTTCTGGATTTATAAAGTTTGCTAGAATATCTCTGTGTAATTGTGTTTCTTGGCCAGGCAATGGAAGTTATTTTTCAATATACTAACAGGCCTCTGCCACCTTCTCCTAATTCCCTTCTGGAACACAGTGGGATAGTAATGTTGAAAGTACCAGGCAACCAGGAGAGACATGGCTGCCAAGTCTACTTGGTGCTCAGGGTTAAAACTGAGCTTATAGATTAAGGTTCTTCTTTCCTCCCTTCTCTTCCACTTTCCCTTTCACAAAGAATTCAACTAATGTTAAAATTTTAAAAATGGTGCAGTGTTTTAAAAGCAATGCACACATACATACACATACATCTCTTAAAAAGTACAGCGGTAGTTTAGGGGAAAGCAGCAAGGAAAAATAAACTCATGGAGAAGAGATGATTAAAAAAAGAAAAAAGAAACATGAAGACTCAATGTAAATGGAACTCTTTGTCAATAAGCATTTTAGACTAGCTCCTGACCTAAACTGTCCTATAATGATTTTTCCCCTTGTGCCTCATTTTTATGGTAGAATTCAATGACATAGGGGCCTATATGCCATTTGAATGCAAAAATAGAGATGGTCTTGTGGATCTCTAATGAGAGCCCTTTTCTGTGAGGACAGATAAAGATAGGTTCAGTGCCTTCATCATTACGTGGTGAACCAACACGTGCCTGGGGGAAAGCACTTTTCATCTTCATATTGGAGTGCGTGTTTTGTCACTGATAGATCAGATTTGCCAGGCACTGGATATGTGGAGAAACAGCACGCAGCCATGGTTGTCATGCACAATAGAAAGCTGGGTAGACTGATCTTCTATTATGTCTTAAATGTTAAAATCTGTAACAATCGAGTACACAGAACGAGGCAGTGGTACCTAACAGTCTCACACACTTGCTGGCCTCCCTCTCCTGGGAGGTGTCCTGGTGATCACCCGAAACTGCATTACAGTATCCAGGCCTTTTAGTCAACAGGCCACTTGTTCTCTGAAGCTGTCTTACCTTTGAAGTTTCCTCAGTAATGAATTAGCTGAACTACCTACTAAGATAGTGCTGCTGGAACAAAAATGAGTTTAGGTACAAGTTTCTTCCCAACACTGACACATCTGCAGACACTATCCTTAAGTCAGGAAACATGAAAAGTAGAACACTTAAGTCCTCTATTTGTTGCATTAGCATAACCACCTCTTACCACTCCAAAACCTCAAGTTCCTCCTCTCCACTGGACCCTTAACTCACCATGCCATCATCTCCCCGACTTGTATTTCTCCTCAGTAAGGGTGTCAAGCAGCTTTGTGTAAAGTCAACATAAGATAGAAACCTTCCCAATAACCCCAATTAAGAGCTCCTGGGCTTGTGGCATGCCTGGATTCAATTTTACTTTCTCCCTGCTTTAGGCTCCCACTATCCAAAAGCTTGAAATAAGTGTGACTATATATCTGAAGAGGAAGAGAGAAAGGAGGATCAAAATGTCAGCAGTAAGGAGAAAAGAGGAGGAGAAGCAGGGTCCTTGGATACACTTCTGTTACTCTAGAGGGTTCTAAATGTTCAAAGTAAATGATGCCATTCAGATACACCCAGTAAAACAAAAGCTCTGGCACTCACATACTAGAAACTTAAAACATTCTATAGAAACACAGAACTAGACGCCTACCCTAACTTTAGCCTTTTGCCCCACCCCCAGACCCTCTCTTTAGCACAGACTCTGACTGAGAGAGGCCAGAGCTGACCCCAGAGGGAGCCCCACCCACCTCTCCTCTCTCAGAGGCTTACAGTGTTCCGGAAGGAGTGGCTACGGATGGGGTCCTCAGCAGCGAGGGCAGCGCTGCTCAGCATGATGAAGACAAGGATTAGGTTGGTGAAGATGTGGTGGTTGATGAGCTTGTGGCAGCCTACACGGATCCTGTAGGGGGAAAGTTGTTTCATGGACACAGAGTTCCCAGCAAGGGTGTGGGCAGGCTGGGGTTCTTAAGAGTGTGAGAACCCCATGGTAAGAGATTACACAGAAGATGACTGTCAGCTAGGCTACCCATGTTCCCAGCTCAGGGAAACCAGCGTAACCCACTGCTTGCCCCATATTGCCCACCATAAGCAGCCCCTAAGGACCTGTGGAATGAGTGATCACCTCTGTGCTGAGCACTCCACAGAAATCATTTCATTTAACCCTTAGGAGTTGCAATTATTGCCCTTCAAAAGAGTGGGAAGCTGAGGTTTATGGATGTGAAAGAACTTTAAGGTGACACACCTAGTAAGGACGAAGTGTAGATTTCCAATTCAGGTCTGTCTGACTTTGAAGTTTTCTATCACAACATGAAGCCTTACTGCTTATATTCCCTGCCTTAGAAGGAAACTAAATTTGACCTACCAGTATCTCTATACTGTGAGTCCCTGTGTAATGAATGAACTATAACCTAACTGAGTTCACAAACTAGCTGAAGGTCTAACTTAGGAGGATACTTTTGTAATAAACAGCCAATCAAAGGAGCTGAGTTTCAGCCAATCACAGGCTGCTGACTGATCAGACTATGTTCAAATAAGGTCCATGAGGTACTGTAGTCAGTTAAGCTGTCTCTTTCCCTCACTTCCATTTTCTGTCCATAAATGTTATTGCCCACATTGTAGAGTATAGCTCTCTGAAGCTCTTCTGGTTTTGGGGACTGCTTGGTTCAGGAATCATTCTTTGCTCCGTTAAATTCTGTCAAATTTAATTTGTCTAATGTTTTTAATTTTAACACAAAGAGTGAGAAAAATTCCTTTCTTGTACTGCAAGGTGCTGTATTAAAATATGACCTGCAGTAAGTGAGGATTGGTGTAATCTCCTGTTGTATAGCAATTTTGTCACAAATGTTGTATTTTTAATGAGTTAACCTACAACCAGCAGTCCAAAGAAAGTGAAGTCACATCATCACTTGCTAACATGCAAGGCTTTTTTTTGCACCACATGATAAGTTCTCACTGAGTCCTGAAGCCCTGCGAGGCAAGGGAGAGAAGATGTGTCCAGCACCCTGCATCCTAGGCTTTTATGAAGGTTTTTATGATGACCATCGGGCTGGTAAGCAACTGACTGTCCTTACCCTCGATATTTAACTTTAGAATTTGAAGGTCTTTTGTTGATGTTGTTTTGTTTTGCCAAAAAATACTGACAGGTTTTCCCTTGAGAAGATTGTTTTCCCCCATTTTCAAAACTGTGGCCAACTTTATATGAAGGTGACCCTCACTTCAAGTCTTCCCTTTTGCAACTGCTCAGTGCTAGATCCAACCCCTGCAGGGCTTGCAAGTTGTCAGCAACTGAGCCTGGGGAAGACCTCCCAAGGCAGCAAGCACATGGGTGCTCTTCATTTTGGGGGGAAAATGAATCCATTCCTTCAACATATGTATCCATAGTAAGTTGCTAGTGTCAGTAACATCAGTGTAATAACTTTCTTTTTCCTTTTTAAAGGACATCCAAACAGTGATGAGGTATAAAAACATTGAGCAAATCTTCATGTCTGCAGGACTCCAGCATCGCTTGCTACCTACTTGTGTCTCCCCAGGGCCTATAAATTATGCAGTTTTCTGACAGCTATGAACTACTTCTGCAATTCTAGAAACCTTTCCAGGAGCTACCTATTCTCCTGGCAGTTCACTTAATCTCAGCTGATTAAAACCTAGAAACCAGCTAGTAAATAAATTTCTTCCCTCTTACAGTATGTGTAAGTCATTACCATGTTCCTGGTGAGCACCATACCATTTTAATATGAGAAATGCTATTTCAAGCAGAGTATCATAGAACTGAATTGAATACTTAAAAGTTATAAAATATCATCATGCAATGTTACTTTGCATTAAACTTAGTAGGGAAAATAGATTGCCTACAAAGGATCTGAAGATGAAGATGCTTGCAGAATTTAGTCACAAAATTCCCATCCCACAAAGTATCTTAAGATAAGACCTACTCATTAAGAAAGGGTTCTAGGGATGGCCAATGCACAGAACACCGGAGCAGTGGGCTCCAACCAGAATTTCTTGGTGACCACACACATTTCCTTATTGCTGCTTCCATGCAGAGTTTGTTAGGGGAGGGAAGTCTAGAATAGCGCTCCTCCCAGGACCCGGACATCTTCAGAGGAATAAAAAGACTAAGGAGAGATGAACTGGCAGCAAAGGCAAAATTAGAGCAGGAGAGGGTTCAGAGGGACTTAGCAGGACTCCAGGGACACTCAGGTTCAGAGGGGCTGTGAACCATTTCCCCACCCCACCCTGGCTATGCTCAAGCAACCGATAGGATCACTGCAGAGAGGTGGCAGTGATGGGATTAGAAGGGGGTATTTACGGATTTGTCTTGCTAAGAATGAAGAAAGCGCTCCCTTCAGGGATGGGGGCAATTTTCTCCTTCATGTTCAACTCTGAAATTCTGCGAGGACGGGGACCAGCAGGAACCTCAGGTTCATCCTCCTCTTCCTCCTCTTCCTCTTCACCTACTTTAAATGGAACACTTTTTTAAGGCATGAAATAAAGATTACATATGGGTTTTAACTGTTGTTCTCAATTTCACATTAAAATGTGGTTTAAATTTTAACAACATCTACTGCTTAAACTAATCAGAACCTTCCTGCTCCTTCAGAATCTGAATGCAGTGTGTGCTGGGGGCGGGGATGCCTCCCTGTGAGTTTGTTTAGTTATGGTTGGGAGGCCCCCTCCAGGCTATAGTCTAGCCTCAGGTAAAGGTGGTAGTTGGTGGTATTCGCTCTGCCTTCTTCCCAGAGCCTGATTGTTTTCCCAGTAGCCTCTTTGCTCAGCTTTAACCTGAAAAACTGTATGTGGGACTTAAAGTCACAGACATGCAGCCCCTGGGCTCCCCAGTAACACAGTCCTGCCTTTATCAGCCAACAAAGGCATCAGTCAAATGCAAAAGAATCAGGTGAGTGCTAATTGGTCTCCTACAAAGTTCTACCAGCAAAAGTTGGGCCTACCCTGAGCCACCCACACTTTCCTCTTTCTACTACCCAGAATTGAGCTGTGTCTGCTCACTGTGAACATAGGAAACGGCATAGCTAATTGGTCCATGAAGCAACTGGGCCCAATAGTCTTGGTAACTTTGGCAAATAAGGCCAAAGCCCACATCTCATGAACTGACGGCCTCTCTGGCTTTCATCATCATACCTGGCACATCACAAGGTGGGTAAGGATCCTTGTCTTCATCTTCCTCTCGATAGTCATCAATTGTAACCTAGGATGACAGCGATATCTTGGGAGGAGGGGGACACTGACTTAAATTTACTTCACAGGGCCAAAGAGAAAGGCCAACCCTGCCTTTCAGCATAGGGCAAGGAATTCCTCTTCCAAGAGTATGTCTGTGTGTGAGTGCAGGGCCTGGCAGATGGCAATTCTGCTTCAGACAGAGGTCTGAGTGCAGATGAGAGACAAGATGCTGACCTGTCATGGTTCTGTCCATCTGCTGTCCCACTGCAGTCACACACACTATATGATAACCACATTTAGTTTCCTGTCTCCCCGCTAGACTTTGAGCTCCACAGAGGCACGACCCTCATCGGTCTTCTTCATCCTTAAATTCCCAGTGTCGGATCCATAATTGCCACTCAGAATTTATCAATTCAGTGAACAAATAAATGACTAAAACATCCAGAGCTGACATAAGTGTAGCCCTAAAGCCTCCCAGACGAGCTGATCCTGGGACCACCTCTGGGAAGAGATGTCTACTAAAAATCTCCTATTTTAATACCTACTCAGAAGATGGTAATTTGATCTTGACCACACAATTTCAACAAAGAAAAAGTAGTGGTCAAACTGGTCAAATAGTTACCAACTTGGTTCTTTGGCGAACTGTTGGTTAACAGCAAGTACCCAACCTATATTCAATCAGGAGTCCACCTAGGGAAGCCAGCATCTTTATGGCATGTTCCACTTTTCACACCAAAAAACTACATGCAAAATGTTTTCACAGCATAAATGGTACATTTATGGTGACATCAACATAATCACTTTGAAACAAAAAGGAGAGGAGTTGTTTTAGAACATACCTTGTTGTCACTGTTGGCTATCTGGTTGACTTCTGGTTTGTTGTTCTTTTTATTTTCCAAGCTCTCTTTTCTACAGAGAAGAGAACAGAACACAAGAAACAAAATAGCCATATAACTATGTATAAAAATGCTAATCAGGATTCTGAATCAACAGTGCCCCAATGAAGGACAGAATTTAATTAGAAACAACACTAACAGCAAATGCATAGCATAATCCAAACTCAGAGCTTCCTGTTTGCCTAATGCAATGGATTCATTATACAGATCATCTTATTAAAATTCTCATCCAAGAGCTAATCAGCATTGAATGCATCGTTTATTTTATAACACCAAAATTAACTGCAGCAATTTTTTAAGCACGGGTATGCGTGACTCCCATTCTCAGCTCTGGGGATAAGAGCCAAAGGCCTGGCTTCTGCCCAAGTTCCCTCCTCTTTGGTCTGCACCACATGGTCACCCACAATCACTGCAAAGCAGCAGCATGGCTACAAAGCACATAGGCCGCCTCCCAGACAGCTGGGCTCCCCAAGCCCTCCTGGAAAAATATCTCAGGTGAAAATGAGGTTACCTGGCAATCTTTTTCCTTTCCTTTTCTTCAGCTTCCTCTTTCTGAGCAGTGTTTAAACTTTCAGCATCAGCCAAATTGTCTACAGCGATGGCCAAGAAGACATTCAATAGAATATCTAATTTGAAAAATTTTAAGGGCACAACAGATTTCTAAATGCAACTATGTATGATCAGCAATGACAATGTTATACCCTCTGTGTTCTGGAGGGCTGGTAGCAGGTGACTGTTCCTAGTTCTATACTCACTAGGTAAAACCAGAGGACTTGGTAAAATTCTGCTTTCAACAGACAAAACTAGAAACCTGTAGAAGGTAAGATCAAGATTCACTAAAAACCATGAAAACCTACAACTGTTAACATTTCCTGTGTATGTATTTCCAGAGATATATGTATCTACAATTGCTACACATTGTATAAAATCTACCTATAACACACACATGATATAATTTAAAAGAACCTTCTGTTTGTTTTTTTGAAAACACACACCATAACACACATACTCAGGGGAGTCCTTTTCAAACCAGACTCTTTCGAAAGTCACACATTATTCCAATCATTATACCACTGCACATACATTATGAAATTTTCTCCTTTGAGATAGCCTTCAGAGTCTGTGGACAACTCATTCACTCCTTCACTCTACAAACACTGGCTGCTGATAACGTGCCGGGCCTCCTACCAGATGTCATTGGACTATCTACTGAGTAGTTCCACTGAGGCTAGATCTTTGATTAATGAGGTGAATCTGCAAAGAGCAAAAAGTTAGGTATACAAGTTATCAAGGGTTTTGTTTGTTTTTACTCTGAAGTTATGTATATGGTTTCCTTGAAATTTTTTTAAAAAGTATTCTGAACAAGATTCTCAAATCACAAAATGCCTGCTTTTTGCTCATGAGCAACTAAGAACATTGTGGGCAGCACAGGGACCAGAAGGCAGTAAACAAGAGAGCCTTGTGCAAGACGAATGCTTCTCTGCCTGATACTCATCCATTCCGCAGTGAGACAAGCACAGCAGACAACTGCCTCATGTACCACATGTAATCTCCAATCTCAGGTGGGTTGCTGAGTACGTGAGGCAACATAACCTAACAAGGACTAACAGTAGTATCTCTGTGAGGAGCTATCATGCTTGACTAATTCTAGACAAGGCTTTAAACAGTATGGATACTTGAGTGAATTACATTAAGACTCAATGCCTTTGATATGCTGGCCTATTTTTTTTTTTTTTTTTTTAGTGAGAGCTGCAATGAGCCTGAGGAAGCAATTTGTCCTGGGGTAGAGGCAGCACTGATCTGATGGGCATGGGGTGATGGTGGTTTAGATGGGATCAGTACTGGGAATCACTCTATCAAGTATTCCTCTCAATGAAGAAATAATTACCTCTCCAGCCTCACAATGATACTAAACTCTTTTGGATAATAAAAGCAAATCTGGAGCAATAAACCACAGGAAGGTCTTACACACTTGTAACAGATGGCTTCCAAGAGCATCTGCATTTAAAGGCATTACCCAAACTTCCTAAATACAAGTATAGTCTGGAATTAATTCAAAAAGATCTATCAAGCACCTCTGATGACCCAGTCCTCCTTCTGGGTACTGAGGATATGGGAGGAAACACAAGAAAATGGAACATCTACTCTAGCTGGGTACACAGAATATAAACAACTTTTTAAGTTTCTCAGATAGTGACAAGTGCCACAAAGAATCTGAACACTGAACTAGAGAGGAGTGGCAGGGAATAAGCTATATACTTAAGTCTTATATATTGCTGTGGCCTAAAGAAAATATTGACCATTTGGTTAATAAACATTTACCAAAGATCAATTATGTACAGGATCCTGTCCTATAACAAGAAATGAGAATACAAAAAAGAAGATTCCTAACTCAAAAAGCTGTTGTCTAAGCAAGGTGTGGTGGGGCAGCTGTAATCCAAGCTACTCAGGAGGTAGAGGCCTAAGTTCCAGGTCAGTTCTGGCAAAATAAAATACAAGCAAAAGGACAGGGGTGTGGCACAAGAGGTACAGCATTTTCAAAGCAACTAGCAATTCTTGGTTTAATCCCTAGTACCACAAACAAAACAAAAACAAAAGCAAAGAGGAGGAGAAGGAAGAGGGAAGGGAGGGGGAATAAGGAGGAGGAAAAGCTGCAGAAAGGTGTTGTCTAGCTAGGGAGATGGAGGATCACCCACACCAAATTCCAGTGGATGGCAGACTCTGAATTCAGTAGGAGATGCGGACAGAAGATGATGGGAGCTCAGAGGTTTCCAAGCTCACATCTGAGCAGGAGACAGGGTAGAGGTGGCTCTCGGGACTAGCTAAACATATCCATGCTGAGATGGATTTTCACTGAAACCGCATCACATAAAACATCCTCCCTGGGGAACAGAGCAGGTTTGCACTATCATTTTCATCTATGAAAAAGGGAAGAAGATTAAGTAGAGAATCAGCTAAAGGGATCTGGGACTCCTTACGAGAAGAATCCAGATTAGGACTTTTGGAAGGATGGAAGACCAAGGGATGGTATTCACATGAATTGTTCATTCACCACATTTAAGGGCTTCTCTATGCCAAGTCTTATGGTAGGCATGAAGGATTAGAGATTAAAACAGATATAACCAAAGGTTCTGGGACCATGAAAGATCTGAGAGAGGTAAGTAAACAAACCTAAGGGCAAGTTTCAGAGGTCTGGGATAAGAGGGTACCTCTTGGCAGGGAAGAGGAGAAAATTTATATCCTATGATATAGAAGCTAGTCAAGGGACAATTAATCCCCAAAGACAGGTCAATAAAGCAAGTGAGGTTTAGGGAATCATAGGTCAATCCATCAAAGACAGTTCTCCGTTGGTCATGAGGGGTCTTCAGAGGACATGGACAGAGACTTAACTCCCCTCCCATGAAAACACAGAGAACCACCATGTTCCTTCAAAGAGACCCCTTGGATCTGTACAGGAGACATGGTCCCAAGCTGGATGACCCCTGGCACCAGCACATGTACTGTCTGCCCCTGGCTTGGCTCACTTAGCCATCAGGCATTCCTTAAAGCCCAACTGGAGCTCTGCAAATACTGCACTGCCCTCCCCACTACTCCCTCCAACCAGCAACATGAAGGGAAAGCAAAAAGTGAGCTAGCAAGGGAAAGTCATTTATCCCACCCCACTGCCAACACACACCCACCCCTGCTACCTCCCCCCACCACGGGGAAATTCAGAGAGAGAAAAACAAGACAATGACAACAAAGCCCTGGTGGGCCTGAAGGATACAGTTGCCACAAATGAAGAGGATGATGAAGTAAATGCAGACGATCATCCCTGAAGAGGATGGACCTCCGTAAGCCATGATGCCATCGTACATAACGGCATTCCAGTCTTCACCTGTCAGAATCTAAGAAGCCAAAGCTGGTGTCAGACTGCAGGTGCTCTCACAACTCACAGCAGATGTCCTGGAGTTCCTTGGCAGCTGCTAAAATCTGGTTTCAGCTGCCCTTCACAGTCCAGTTTGCAATGAATAAATCCATCTGTTAACTTACAGAATTTTCAAGATATTGTTTCTAATTACACAAATAGATGAGTTATTTATTCTAGGGGAAAACTTTATACGTAAGACTTAGGTACCTTTTGATTACACCTTCACAGAGACCACAATATTGGTCTGCGTCTCTCTGGAACATCTGTCTATGGATTAACATATACCCAGAGAAAACAGGCAGTTGGTGTCTTCTTGACTTTTTAAGTAGAAAATGTAGCATACGATATGAATTTTTCTGCAACTGTTTTTTTTCCCATTCAACAATATACCCTGGAGACACCCTTGGTATCACTAAATTCGTATCAATTTTTTAACTGCTGCATAGTATTCCAAATAGTTAATCTGCTGTGGAAATAGAGAATTTTATCTGTGAGTTTTTAGAAGCAGGAAATTTTAAATGTCTCATGTTGAGTTTACAAATGACATCAAGAGCAGATACTATCAACCACTTGAAGTTTCAAATTTAATCTTCTCTACTGATGATGCCTGGTAATTCAGTCTATTCTGAAATAGAATCAGATAAACATGGATAGCAATTTTAACAAAAATGCTATCTTCCATCTGGACTAGATATTTAAAATGCTCAAACTAATGTGGATCACAAACAGCAAAATGGGCAAATGATTAGAAATGATAAAGTAACTCACAGAAAAGGATTTATAAGTGGCTCTTACAAGATATTCAAATTTGCTCCTGATAAAACTACAATGAGATACCATTTTCCTATCATATGGCAACAATCATGAACTATGAACACCCAGAAAGGTGAAAGGTAATGAAAACACCTGGGTAGAAGGTGACAGGAGCACTTTGACAAGGGCATCAAGTTTTAAAAGAATTATACCACCCTTTCACTTGGAGGAATGTGTCTTACACACGTGCCTCACATGCCCTGCATGTTTCAGACCACCCACTGGAGCCCTGTTTACATGAGCCAAGGCTAGACACTACTAAACATTCATCAGTAGGGACTGCTTACATAAGTGATGGCCATCCACACCACTGAATGTGTGTAGCATTTAAAAGGAGGGTGTGAACTTTTATGGACCAATCAGTAAGGCTCTCAGGATGCTTTAATTTAAAAAAGATGCAAAACTATGTAGAGGGGAGCCACCATCTGTGTAAATTCATCTATAGGTAGGTAGACTGATTTACATCTATTAGCAAATACATATCCAACGATACACAGGCAACTGATTAATGGTGGATGCCTCTTAGAAGAAGGAATGAGTGGCTTGGTGGGAGAATTGTCAGTTTACTTCCTTTGGTAACGCTTAAATTTTGTGCTGTATGCATGTGTTACAACTATAACAACAAAAAGGACACAGTTTTCTCAGAAAGAGATAAGAAGAATGACTGACCAGTGGCCAAAATTTATGGAAAATTAAAAAATAAAGCCATAGCCTATAGCAGTAATTCTACACCTCAAGTGACAATGTGAGAAAAAATCTTACAGATCATTCCCTCTAGATGGTGTGTATCTTCAGAAAAGAATAAGTGAACTAGACATAGAAAGAGCCACCATGGGACCTATCTGTCCTCTACCCTTCCCACAATACCCCCTTGCCTCTCCAGTGGGGCATGAATGCTCGCTGACATCTCATGTGAAAGTGATGAGGGCTAATGGGTGTCTTGGTCTGCAGGCTCCATTCAAGGAAAGGGGACACAGCTGAGAACCTGTAAAAAAGCACTGAGCACACCTCTGCTCGCAGGCAGGAAGGTGAGGAGCATGTTGCCTATCAAGTGGCAAAGATACCTGTGCCTCTGAGAAACAACTGTTTTTTCCAGCCCAGCACCTGTGCAGGTCCCCACAAGTACAGCCATCCTCACAGTCTGTGGTCTTCACTCCATTACAGAATCAGGATGAAGAAAAGAAGGGCAGAGGGTAGCAACACTAATGTCCCAATTCCTCTGACCATATACCAAAGCATCCAGGCTTCCAAATGTACTTCTTCACATGAAATTAAACTTGCCACCAAATAGCTGCATCACAAGAGTATGTTATAACTAGGACTACATACTTGCCTGTGATTTAAAAGAATTAGCAAGGAATAAGATGATTTTAGAGTATTTCACAGAAAACTCACAAAAATCAAGCAAAAGTTTTTGGGTTTATTATTTTGTAAAACCACTAGTGGTCTTAAAAACATTAAGTCATATCCCATATATAGCTGGAGGATGATGCAAAACAATATATATGGCACAAAGTTTACAGGGTATTATTAGGGAGAGATTGTTAATTTACTTGTCTTCCTGAGCTGTGAGCAGACGAGGTGGACGTTCTACTGCCATTCACGGCACTTCCCATGAGTGGGAGAAGACTCACCTGGAATACTGTCAGAAGTGCTTGGGGAAAGTTGTCGAAGGTGCTTCGCTTGGTTTGTGTTTCATCAAAATTAAACTTGCCACCAAATAACTGCATCCCAAGCAAGGAAAAGATGATGATGAACAGGAAGAGCAGAAGCAACAGTGAAGCGATGGACTTCATGGAGTTTAACAAGGATGCCACCAAGTTGCTCAAGGAAGTCCAGTGCCTACAAGTCAAGATAAGGGTGTGAGTCTAGAACCCCTGTGTGGGACAGAGCAGACCATCATCCAACCATGGATGGGACTGACAGCCACCTCCTTTTCAGAAAACATCTGTGGCATGAAACACACTTCCTTACCTGGTCACTTTGAAGATTCTTAATAGGCGCACACACCGAAACACAGAGATCCCCAGAGGAGACATGATCTCCAGCTCCACTAGGATGGTCTCAGTAATCCCACCACACACCACGAAGCAATCAAACCGGTTGAAAAGAGAGACAAAATATGCCTGGAGACCCAAGCTGTACATTTTTACCAGCATCTCACAGGTGAACAGAGCCAAGAGGACTTTGTTAGCAATATCTGGAAAGACAAAGGGCATAGGTCCTCAGGATCTCAATTCGGGAGACACTCAGATTCCTCTTCTCCTGGTAGCTCCCTCCCATCAGTCCCCACAAGAAATACACCAATACCATGTCCTCTTTTTGCTATTGCACCCACAACAGAAATGTGGTATTAACTGTTAATCTGTTAGGTACAACCTAGATGTTAGAATATGGAGGAAGTCACTTGATTTCTCTGGACCTCACTGACCATAAGATGGATATAGAGAGTTGAACACACAATCTTTGGAGTTTCCTAGTACTAAAAACATAAGACTCTGCATTTAGACCATAACATATTTTTTCAATTACTTACACACACCAAAAAACCCTGTCTGGTCTAGCTTATGGCACCATGGTATCAGAAGTGGTCACTTACAAGACTGGGGGTGGGGCATGACTCCAAGTGGTAAAGTGCCTTCCTATCAAATGCAAAGTCCTGAGGTTCAGACCCCAGTATGGCAAAACAAAACAGAAATGGTCACCTATCAATGTCACTTTTAACAGCAGGAAATACTGCCAAGCAGGCTCAAGAAGTAGAGGAGACAGTAAGGAACAATTCCTCAAGAACTCAAAACTGTCAAACCCACAATGGGTTGTCTCTGCGGACAACCTCCACACACCTATTTCTTGGCATTCAAAGCAGGGGAGCCAAAAAATACTAAAGAGGAAAGTAAAGCTTCCAGTTGGGGTAGGGAGAAGGTCCTTCTAACTCCAAAACTCCTGGATCCTAAGTTATCTCAGGGGAAGGATATTAATCAACTGAAAAGGGGCTACACCACACAGCACAGGCTGTACCTGCTATAGGGCTTGCCTGTGTTTGGGGGATTCTACCATCTTCCGAGGTAGTTCTCATTAGAAATGCTCCAATACTTCATTACACATTGATCAGATAATACTAAACAGCAGTTAGCCACAAGAACCTCTAATTCAGAACAGAAAGAGAACAGTTTCCGCTTGTACCTTGAATCTGTGTCAACCAGTCCGGCTGATTGTAGTGCTCAGAGGAAATGGTTAAAGTGTTGAGAAACACCAAGACAATAACCAGCCAGTAAAACGTGACAGACTTCACAGCAGCCCTACATCTTCTGCGATTGAATCTGTTCCAGCGACGCCAGCGTCGGCTGAAAGATAAGCAAACATTGCTCTCTAGATGACAGATCAGCACTCATAGCCCAACAAACCTCACTCAGAAACAAAGGTTCTGCCTGGGGTCAGGAGGGAAGGAAAGAGAATAAACAGCATAGAAATGAACAGACCTCCTAAGATAAATTATGTTAGTCTTAACATACAGCTTTTAAAAGTATAATCTTGACTTGACTATGCTACTGGTTTCCTTTCCATGCCTATAAGTAACTCCAGAGTCTGTCATCTACAGCCCTCAAATGGGTTAGGAAAATCTAGATATTCATAGATTCATGTGTACACCTGCATACATCTGTAGTTCATATGCCCACCATATGGCATGTGGATCTGTTGGTGGTATTGGTGTAGAGACACTTAGCATATACATCTCTTGCAGTCGCTCAATCATCACACAGGGCTTATCAAGCAGAAAAGTGTTCCAAAACCATAGTTTTCTTTATAGGGAATCTTCCCAAATCTTTGAGGTTCCTCTGGAGACTGGAAACTGTAAAAGCTGAGTAGGACATGAGTCTTTATACTGAGTCATCAGGTGCCCTTTCTAACCAGTGATGCTCAAAATATACCTTTAGGAGAAGATCCAATATTGAACCGTTATTTTCATAAAAATAAAATGAGCACAGTCAAATAGACACATAGCATGTCCCCTCCCACCTTCAGTTCCTGTTTGTAATTAGGGAAAATATTCTCTCCCTTATTCTGTGCTTATGGAAAACTGTCCCTGACACAAGGGGATCGTTTGGGCCACGAGGCTGCTCAGCAACCTGGATCCCAGCAAAGAGCCGGCCAGGTGGCAAAGTTCCTCCTTTCCAGACCCTGCCACCTCAGTGACAGGAACATGAGGGCACTTCCTCTTGGGCTTTGAGTCTAGAGGAGAATCCAGGCTGCCTCCAGGCTATAGTCCCAGCAGACACAGCTGTGTTACTAGACTTTTTAAAAAAAAGAGCTGTGCCACCTCCACCCCAAGACTTGGATCCAGCAAGTGTGTTCTGTGTTTGCTCTTGCTGTGTGGTTTCCAATAGAAGAAAGAGCAGCTAGGGACATGGATATCAGCATGGAAAACTCTATCGAGGACTCTGAGACTCCAATTGTTCACGGAACACATAATTCAGCACATGCAAGAAAGGAGGTCTGAAACTCAGAAGACCATGTGGAGTTGCAGTAAGTAACAATTACAAATTCATACCAAGTGCTAGTTCCAGAAGTAGAGTGCAGGACCAAGGAGAAGGGTGCTACAAATGCTCTTTGTGGTACGGGGTTTGAACTTAGGGCCTCGTCCTTGCTAAGGAGGCCTTCTACCACTTGAGCCACACCTTTGGAAGAGTCAGGGAGGGCTTCTCTGGAAAGTAGAGATTTGGGCCAGATCTTAGTGGATTAGTAAAAGTTTCTCCAGAGGAGACTACGTGGCCAAAAGCATGGAAAGGAGAAAAAGCAGAAGAGTTGCACTTTTGAAAACAGAACAGTCCAGCATAGCTACAAAGTGGGGAATATGGGATGTCTAAAGCTGGAGATATGGCTCAAGTGGTAGCGTGCCTGCCTACAACGTGTGAAGCACTGAGTTAAAACCTCAGAACGACCAAAAACAGAAAGAAAACAGTGATGTCGAAGTTGAGGCAAAAAGGTGAGCCAAACTATGAAGGTATTTCTTCTGCCTTTGGTAACAGAAAACCATAGAAGAACTTTTGATTTTTGTAAACTCAAGCTTGAGATAAAATTTACATTCATTAAGTTTGTTCTTTGTACATAAACACACAGTCAGGACAAAGAACATTTCCATCACTCAAAGAAGTTTCTTCGTAGCTCTTGGGCATCCTCATGCCAGCCTGGTGACTACTGATCTGTTTTCTCTCTCCTTTGTTTTGTTTCATCCAGAATGTCATAAAAATAGAATAGTGTAATATGTAGCCTTTTGAGACTGGCTTCTTTCACTTAGTAAAAATACTCTGGAGATTCACCTGTGTGGTTACACGTATCAGTAGTTTTCGTCTTCCTTTTGCTAAGCCAGCATGCCATGATACGGATAAACCACAATTTGTTTGTTCATTCCCCAGCTGACGAACACTTGAGCTATTTCCAGTTTAGAGTACATATAAATACAACTGCTACAAACATTTGTGTTGATTTCTTTTGGTGTGGGCATATATCTTCATTTCTCTTGTATAAATACCTTACACGTGGGACTGGTAGTCCATATGGAAAATATATTTTAAACTTTATAGGAAACTACTAACCTGTTTTTTCAAAATGGTTCTGTCACTTAATAAAAAAAACCCATTGACAAGCATTCTTGTCAAAATTTGATATTATCGGATATTCAAATTTGATCTACTCTATAGGAATGTAAGCATATCTAATTGTGATTTTAATTTGGATTTTCTTGATGAATGACAGTCATTTCATGTACTTATTTACTATCTGTATCTTTCTTTTGGTAACATGCTATTAAAACCTCCTGTCCATTTTAATTGGGTTGTTTTATTATTGACATTATCTTTACATATATTGGATACTGGTCCTTTATCAAATATGGTTTGCAAATATTTTCATCCATGCCCATGGCTTCTCTTTTATTTTATAATAAAAGCGGAAGTTTTAATTTTGATTACAATCTATTTATCAGATTTTTCTGTTATGCATCATGAATTGGGCATCAAATCTTAAGAAACCTTTGACTAATGAAGTTCACAAAGATTTTTCTCCTGCTTTCTTATAGAACATTTATAGCTTTAAGCTTTATATTTAGCTCTATGTCCATTGTTTGTGTTTAGGAAGGAAATGTTCCAAATTAAAAACAACTCTTGTATGGGAAAGTATACATATCAGAGGCGTGTGCTGTGATGAGCATTACTAACTGACTGTGTAGCCTGCATCCAGATCAAGAAACTGAATATCATTAGTACCTTAGAAGGCTTCTTGAACTTACTTCTGTGGAAAACTTTCTCTTCAGTGCAGCCAAAAAGTGACATGATGTATCTTTCTTAGAGAAACAACTGAAAGATTGATTGGGAGGCAAATATTGTTCATTATTGTACCTTGGTTTGAGGCAGCTGTCCCTACTACACTGCTCTCCTAAGGCAGGTTTATAATGGTTTATTGGACTGATTGAAATTCAGTATCAATATAATAATCCGTGGAGTAAAACTCAAGTCTAGAGCAATTATATATAAAAGAATTTAGAACAGAAAGATGTAATAAATATTAAAAAAAAAACCCCAACACACAGGCTAAGAAAAAAAAAATAGAAGATACTGACCTGAGTTTGGATTTTGAGATGGCTTGACTGAAAGAGAAGAAAAAATAGTTAAGATTCCCAGTTGGAAGATTTGAGTACACGTGGCCACATCATTTCAGCAAAGATATACTGAGAGCCATGCACAGAAGCCTGGACTTTGCATCTTGGCAGCTGCAGCAGGCCAGCCAGGTTAAGGGAAGAGCAGAAACCTAGGTGCTGCCAGTGCCAGGCAGGTGGGCTGAGCACCCTCAAGGAGGCAAGCAAGAGAAGACTCTCAGCTAGATTCCCATAGCACCTTGGCAACAACACTGATGCCGGGCATTCTTCTCTTGCCACCCCAAACTGATGCCAGTAGGGCCTCTCCTGCCCACAACCCAGCTACCCATCTCAACAGCAGTGTGTGTGACTACTGTTGGAAAAGGAGTGCTGGAACAGGACTGGACTAGTGACTCTGCTAGACCTGGCCAAGTATGGGAAAGCAGCATGCCTTTTGAGCCTCACTGTTCTCATCTGCAAAATGGGGAAGACAAACCCATTCCATGACTACTTCAATGCTACAGGGAGGGCAGAGCAGGAGAACAGAGGCAAAATCACTTCAGAAACTACTGTGTACTTCGCCATAACATATCATTTTTATGAACTCTGCCAAAGATAAGAATGAGCTCTCTTTAAAACAACACCTGCACTTTACAGAGATAAGATGTAAAGGGCACCAGCAGAAGCAAACAGCCCAGGGCTCCCCAAAGTGGGTGGTTCTTGGCACATTCAGCAGTGATGCCCTCCCCCCCCACCATTGCAGCCCAAATCATCTAGAAGAAAGCCAGTGGCATTAATGGGATGGTATCCTCCATGGTGCAGGGCCCAACGAAAAAAGGGAGTGGGTGTGTGAACAGAGGCAGACAGGGCCTCCTTATCCAGCCACAAGATATGAGTTTTGGAAGGTCAGTGGGTGAAGAAAAGCAACTATGCCATTCAAGCTCCTCCTCCAAAGCATGGATGCCAAACCCAACAGGAAGGAGAATGCAGCCTTTACCCCCATCGCCGACACCCAGAGGGCCCGGTCTTGGCTGTGCCTCTTCTCTTCCACCAGCACCTAATGAACACAGTGGGTGGCTGGGTTAACTGGCCACTGGGTTACCTTAGTTCATAATAAGGCATGTGAAACACTGGGGTGCCCCAAGGGGCATGACCAAGGAGGGAGCCCACCCACCCTCCTGCATCTAAAGTTGTGGCCCTAGGGCTCCACTTGACCTGGGGTATCTTCTCATCATTAGCTTCTCTAAGATAACACGAGGGTTAAGGAAGGTCAGGGGCTGCCACTCACCAGAGCCTTCCGCAGCATCCCTGTGCCTCGCCTTCACCACTTACGTTCTCTGTGTTCACAGATTCAGTCTCACTGGTGGGCATGCTAGCTGTGGGGAGAGAAAAGGCTTTAGAGAGGGGGCTAGGGGATTGCACGGGAAGAGCTGGACCAGATACAGATCCTTGGGACCTAGGGAGGGGAATGAGGAGGGCCCTCAGGACACATGCCCTCCGAGTCAGTGCTGGTGCTGAATAGTCAAGCTTCTCCTTAGCAGGTGAGCCTTTGCTTCCAGGGGCTGCAGAGAAAGCTTGTAGTCCACTTCTGGGAGATGATTCTGTCAGCCCAGAGGCTTCCCAAGATGAAAGCCTAGGGACCCAAGTGAACCTTGCTGTTGGACCTGGCACACACTTGTTCTCCCCATCTCTGCATCACATTGAAAAGCCACCCAAACACCTCAGTTGCAGGTATATCTCTCTGCTTGGTCCCACCCTAGTACCACTGAACATCTGTAATTAAACCTAATACCTCCTAAGTTATTTTAATACCCTGATGGACAAGAGTCACTAGGGAGTACAAGAGACTGTATGAAGGCACTAGGCATACAATCTTTTTTTTTTTTTTAATTTAGGAGCTCTACTCATTTTTAGCTAAATAATCTGATGTCTAAATTCTGCTGAGCTTGGGAAGCAATTACACAGAAGGCTCTTTCCAAACAAACCAGCACTAGAGCACCAAGGAAGTACAGTCACAGGGCTAAGGAAAGGGTAAGGGGTGGGGTTTTCCCAACCAGTGAGCCGGGCAGGCTTGACTGGGGACCCAATGCCATGAGATCTCTGGACCCCGAGGGTCCCCCTTTTCCATGGCAGGATCCTTAGCAGATGTGGTGGAAATGTAGAAATGTACCACTACTTCTGAAGTCCAGGGACAACCACCCCCTCCAGAGCCACCATGTGGCACATGGGCATCTGTTCTCACCCACCAGGAGGAGATGGGAGAGACGGGGAAAGAGTCGCCTGCTTTCTATTACTGTGAAAAGAGCTACTTCAGCATTCTGTGCAGTAAGTTCTCGGGTAAGAAATGACTGATCCTGCCCTAGGGTGAGAAAGGAGTCTGCCAAAAAGTGACATGTGGGAGAATCACCCAATCAAATTCACTTCTTTTTCCTAATGCAGAGTTTTGAGTTGTAGTGGCAGTTTGTTTATTGGCCTTATAGTAGGAACAGGAACACCTTCCCCCCATGGACAGCTGGCTCCTGTTACCAAAGATATCTCAAACTTCATCTGCAAAAACTGGTGGCAGTATCTGAGGAGTCATGGTGAACACGAAGGCCCCAGGCTGGGAGGGGAAAGGAGCTGGGTCAAGTGCTCTATCTACGAGGTTGCCTGACTGCCATCACTGGTCAGGTGAGGGCTATAATAAAGTGAAGAACAGCAATGATGGTGGAACCTGACTCCTACTCGAAGGTCTGAGAAGCAAGTTTTCTGAGGGTACAGAAGGTGATCCCTGATCCCTTTCCTTCTGTGAAGGAACTAAACCTGTGTTATCAGGAACCTTAACAGCCAACCAAGTTCAGGCACAGGTTTCAGAAGAGAAGGCCAAACGAGTAGAACTATAGATACATATTATACTGCAGGTACTCTCAGAGAGTAGGCTTTTCTTCCTTCCTTAAGTTTAAAGAGACTAACTATAAAATCTTGATTCACTTATTCAATATTCCATAAAAAATAGAGAAAGAAGGAAATTAAAAAAAAACAAACCTCACCATTCAATCATGGAAAATCCTTTAACAAAAAACTCCACTAAGGGCTGATGGAGGGGCTCAAGTGGTAAGAGTACCTGCCTAGCAAGCATGAAGCCCTGAGTTCAAACCCCAGTGCCTCAAAAAAAAAAAAAAAAAACTCCATCAAGACACACATACATTCATTCATTCATTCATATTCATTTTCTTTCTCTCACCCCCTCTTGCTCTTGCTCTCCCCCTCCTCATGCAACTCTCTTCTCCTGGGCTATTTCATGCTCTGACTTCAGCAGGAACACTAGAAGATTGTGAAGGTCAATGAGGCTGGTTGCTGTAGGTTTTCTTCCCTATGTTACCCTTCCCTGCAAATATAGGGCAAAGAAAATTACAGCGGGAGACCTTTTTCAAATCCCACCAGGAGTTGTTTCTTTGTACAATAGCATCCTTGGCTGTTACTGTGCTGACTAAAGTGGCCAGAGGTTGAGGGCAGCACAACACTTCAGAGAATCCACAGGCCCAGGTTCTGTCTGACTCTCCCCTTGGGGACATCCACCTCCTTCCAGGCTTCAGTTTCCAACTGTACAATCTTCACAATCACTTCTGTCTCTGTGAAATACCTCATGGCTCTACTATTAATTATAGAGAAACAGTACTCATTATTTCAAAAAAAATGAACTTCTGAACAGACTAAGTCTTTGTGGCTTTCAATCTCTAAGGTGGTGGCTCATGCTGGTATCAATACTCTTGTGTTATTTCATTCCTAAAGCTTCATTGTTCAAATGCTCTGATTGAAACAGATAAATTATATACTGCCTATGGAAGGGGGGGGGGCGCATCATTTTGCATTTCCAACTCTGTGCCAATTATTAGTGAGTGAAATGTCCTAGCTGCTCTCTAGACTGAGTAGAGGAGAAAGATAAGAACTAAAACCAAGTTCCCCAAACAGTGAAAAGTAAAGCTGAGAGTTGTGTGGCCCTGATTCCAGGTGAAGAGGCCTTACTACTGTCTGAGTGGCCTCTATTCTCAGAAGATGTGGGACAGTGCTAAGGGCAGGTGCACAGGTTGGCCAGATCTGACCCTGCATTTGTGACCTGACTTCTCTGAGCTACTTCCCCATCTGTAAAGTGGGGAGCACCTACCTTGTGGGCTGCAGTCAGAGCTGAGTGAGATGAGGCAGTAAAAGTGCTGGGTCTCCAGCACTGGGCAATCAGTAATGCACAAGTGGAAACTCTGATCATCATCTCAGAAAAGTTCTGCTGGAGCTCCTTGCAAGCAAAGCGACTCAATCCAGGGTCACTGCACCCTGACCACCGCTATTACTGCACAGAAGTATCTAGTGCAAACAGGTTTCCATATATATGAATCAGCTGTGGTCACAACTCTTGTTTTGTGTCTTTTCTGTCTTAAATGGAGTCATTGTCTAATTCAGCTGTTGTAGGAACAACAACTCTCCTGTCATAATTATTTGACACCTACGGAGCCACAGGCATATAATAAAGAAGTCAATTCCAGAAGGATGTTGCCAGGGTTATGGAAGAGTAGTGGAAGGGAAAGGACAAGCACAGAGAGTGTGCTAGAATTGGGCCACCTCATTTGGTCCTGGAAACACACCTTAATCTGAGTGGAGGACCCAGATTGTTGCCAGTTCCAACAGGGCCCTGGCAACCTTATGATCTGAGGCTGCCTCTCACTCCATAACACAGGACAGAGAGCACCTCCTTTTCCAAAAGTACTGAAAAAGTCAAGCCCAGTATGTAGAGCCAAATTAATACATTCTACCCTTCACTTACACTGAACATACATTTTTTAATGTTAATAAATTGATATTAGCTTTGCTTCAATTAGTCCCATAAAGAGCTCATCTACATTTTTTAAAAAAAACAGGACAGAAGAATCATAGATTGCTAATACTGGAAGGGATTTCTGAGTGTGCATATATGAACTCTGACTTCACAGATTACAGCTACCTAGCTGGCTTGCCTCAAAACACACAGCTCAGATGAGAGAAAGTTCCACTGATTTCTACTCGGCATTCTTTCCACCATGGAATGCCCTCCCTGGAGTTCCATTATATACGTAAATATGCTGGCATAGTTGTTGGTGTGGGTATTATATATACTGAAGTAGACTTAAAAGTCTACAAATCAGAAAGTTCCAAAGCCAAGCAAGTCTATTATCCATCAGCACAGGATTGCCGTTCTGATCTTTATTAACCCTAGACACTTAGTACGTAGCAGACCACATCCAGATCAGCCCAGCAATACAGACATGTATCAAGCTGTACTGGTGACTATTGGAATTTTATAAAAATCATAACAGAAAAGATTATAAAAATCCACATAAGTAAACCTACAGGCAAATTCCTGGAACATGTGTCCTTCTCCTAACTGGTTGGCATACATCATGGTTTCCCCATACAGAGTGAATGCTCTGTCCCCTCCAGCAGGGATTCAGTACTAACTAACTGCTGACTGGCTAGGCCTTATTAGAGTGCAGGAAGGTCCCTCAGGTCCCCCATGTCACCTGCAGGTGTCAGTCCTTCCTGCAGGAATATACCAGGGCCATCTATATGGGGAGAAGTTATAACTCTTTTTCTCTGACACATTTCAGGGAACATCAGAGAGCTTTTTTGGGGAGGGCGGTGGCACGAGGGGCGGGGTCTCTTTCTCTAAATTTAAAAACTGTTTTTGGTGAATCTGGGAGAAACTAGGCATTAGGACATGCCTGTCACCTGTGATGGGATGCTGACTTGCACAGCAAGTTGCCTGCTGAAAGTCTGGGATAGCTTGGAGCCTGTGCTTTCTGAGCTATTCCAGTCCCTGGGATCTTTGGGGAGAGCTCCAGGGTAGATCCTCGGGCTTAAAGTGTGAGTACACTGAGAAGGGGCCTGGGTTGAGCAGTCCGGCACATCTTGACTGTAGATGAGTTCCCAAGGCTTTTGTGGCATGGGTGACCTGTGCCAGGCACACTTTGAGTACTCTCTGAGGCTGTGAGTCACTTGTTTCTCTTTGAGACCTTGTACTGCAAGATCTTATATCATTGTGGGCGGTGTCACATAAAATAAACCAGAGAAATACACTATTTCTCAGGCTAGTTAACAACTGTATTTTCACCAATCTGCAGAGATTTCTCCTCCGCCTTTCTAAGAACAACATATTTTTCAACCAAATCTGCCTGCCTTGTGAATTCAGAGGCAAACACACACAGACACACACACACACACACACACACACACACACACACACAAAAGATACACACACACACCCAGAGTAAACGAATCTATGTGTGGGTACAAGCAGGCAGTCTTAAAATGACAACCATCAACAGGCATATCACTTCCTTCAGTGATGAAGGTTAACGAGGTCAAAGAC